GACCGACCATTTTTCGCTAAGTTATAGCATGTTAAGTTGACAGTTGAAGAACCGGCAAATTCAGTTTGGGTGTATGCCAGGAAAATCAACTATGGAACCAATATTTTGTATAAGGCAGATTGTGGATAAATATAGGAAATGTATGAAGGGGCAAGTACAAGAGTAAAGAGTGTGTGTGGAGAAGCGGAAAATGTTGATGTAAGATTGGTTGTGCATCAAGGTTCAGCGTTGAGTACTTACTTGTTCTTTGAGTAAAGAACAATAATATGATAGATATATAGGGGGATGTGTATGATGTTTGAGGATGATGTAGAGTTAGTGGGGGAAAGTCCGGAAGAATTGGGTGAGAGACTTGAAGACTGGAGAGAAGCGCTTGAAGGGAAAGGACTGAGGATTAGTATGAGTAAATCGGAGGCAACCGTGTTTCATTTTGGAAAAAGTTATAGGACAAGAAAGGTAATCCAGATGGGTGATGTTAAGGTGTGTGAGATTGATAGGTTCAAGTACTTATGATCAGTACAATAAATGGTGGGTATGGGGAGGACATAAAAATAGGATTGTGGATGGATGAAGTGGCGGAGGGGGGTGTAAGGTGTTTTATGTGACAGGAGGATGCCTATAAGATTGAAAGGTAAATTTTATAGGACGGTAGTGATGCTAGCATTGTTATATGGGTCGGAATGTTGGTCGGTAGACAAGGAAACTGAACAGAGAATAAGTGTAGTGGAGATCAGAATGCTACGTGAATGAGTGGAGTGACTACGGAGGATAGAATAAGAAATTAATACATAAGAGAGAATTTAGGAGTCGCATCAAATGTGGGGAAAATGAGAGAGAATAGACTGAGAAGGTTCGGTCATGTTATGAGGAGATGAGGCAAAGACAGTGAGAGTTGTTATGAAGATTAATGTAGAGGGAAAGAGAGAAAGGGGAAACCTGAAGAAAAGTCGGATAGACGAAATAGAGAGTGATATGAAGACAGCTGGGTTGATTGAACGAGATGTAGAATATTGAGCTTTATGGAGGTGTAGAACTAGGATGGTCGACCCCATGTAGCTAGGAGTGTAAGACGAAGATGAAGAAGAAGACATAAAAAATCATCATTGTAAATCCAATACTTTCATAACTCCGCGTCGAAGCTAAAACAAACGTACTTAAATTACATGAACGAAAAATAAATTGTTTTGGTATACGATTTACAGACAAATTAGAATTAAGATTGGACAGAAAATTAATGTTAATGTTAATAATACAAAAGAAACCATAGAGAGTAGTAAAAAAGTTTCTACGATTATTATTCAGTCAAAAATAGAGAATATGCTGTCAAAGATGCTATGAAAGTCCGAAAATAAATTAACTACCAAAAAAGATTACTAATAGTTACACATTACAGTTTAACCTTTTTATTAAAATTTTACAAAAAATGGCCTATATCCAAATCCTTAATAAATGGGGGTATGACGTTCTTTTAAGCTAATCTGTCTATCGTTCAGAGTTATTTTCTTTCTTGAAGATTGGCTAATAGAATAATTATTTTGTAGGTATATTTTACATTTCTAACAAAAAAAAAATACAAAAATAAAATAGAATGATTGTTACCTGTTACTTGAACGTTGAACTATTATGAAAATTTTTAAAACCGGTATTAATAATTCATATTGTTTACAACTTGCTGACCTTAATTTATGAAAATTATATGAATATTTGGCCATTCATATAAGGTTATTTTCCATATAATAATATTTATATATGTTTTTAATTTTTAAAGCCCTGATGATTAGTTGATGCAAAATGTACCATCATTGTTATAGCGAAGAAAAGTTAAAACCAAACAACGTACCCCGTCTAAGGAAAAATATGTATTTAATAAAAACAAACAAAATAATCACTAAGAGAAATTGGCCTGGATTATGGCCGAAAACTCTCCTATTATTACATGACCCATTTTAAGTCTTTGCAGACACAAATGGGTTTTTAATTACAGTTTTTCGATAGGAATTTGTCGTTCGCCTATTGTGTATATTTCCATCCACCCACAAAATTGATATAAATTATTATAGTATACAATACATACACACATTGTTGAGTACTACTTACACATAGCTTCCATTAGCAAATGCTAAATGTAACTATAAGTGTTGGTAAACAAATCAATGACGCCACGGCTGGCTTAGTTTCGTCCTGAATTATGATTAGTGTTTGTAGTTTGTAAGAGAACGCCCATAGAAAAATGTTGAGCCTTTCGCATAAACAATTTCATTTGGAGTACATGCTATTTTATCACTAACTTTTTATCATTTCATAAACATTACTACATAGTGTATAAAAAACTGTATGTGTGCATACAAACCTAAGTTTACTTATTTTTTCAAACAAAAAAAAAATCGTTGCTATTAATGAAATTTGTTTATTTTCATTTGTTCATTTTTCTATTTTTTCACCGTAAAAATGAATTTAACAATAAAACATAAGAAGTGTTGTTTTAAATGTTTAACATGAGGTGTAGGTATTACTCTAGCTATAAACCAATCATGAAATGGTTTGTATGACGTAAAAAAGCAGTTTTTTCAACAAATGTAACCGCTTTATTGAACTATATAATTTAATAAAAAAATATTGATATCAATGATAATCCTTATTAATATGGAAGTATAAAAGATACAATTTCGGCATTTACATAACCTTTTGTCTAAAGTGGCATATATGTTATTTCTCAAAAAATAAAATGTGTGTGGCTAAAAAAATATGTATTTCGATAATGAGAAAAGTCATAAATGAACATATCATCCATAAAAAACATTAAATACATATATTATGTCTATTTTTTTATTGATGCATTTAATTCATAATTCGTTTGAACAGGGTGCTATTTATTAAGGGGCAAAGGATAGGCAATATTTGACAAAAATTGATCTAATAGCTATTTTAAGTATGCTGACTAATTTAAAGGTGAAAAAATAGTTTTTCTAGTAACAGAACTTTTAAACTTTTTTCCCCCGAGTTAAAGCGAAATTTTAAATTAAAAAAATTACTCTAGTTTAAGTCATTTCCGACGTATCTATTGGACAGATATCAATTGTTTTTTTTATGTAAAGCTTACTATTTATTTTGTAGGAACTAAAAGGCTGATTTTATATTTAGCTTTTAGAAAATTAGATTTATTAGAAAAAACTATAAAATAGTAACAATATAAATGCTTATAAGTTATAACACAGCTTAAAACTAAAAAATCAACTTTTTAGCCTCAAAGAGATGTTTAACTTTATACTTCTCATAAAAGTGTTGAAATCAGCTCGGTAGCCAGAAGTGTCTTCGCATTTGTATAAAATTTAGCACTTTCTGTTTCCATTAGGCCTTTAGTGTTATAAATTATACATAGATATCAAAAATAGAGTATAGGTACTCTTTGATTATTTTTAAGGTTAAAGTTAAGTGTATATGATACCTTCTACTTTTGGTCGTTTAATAAATAGATTGCTACTAAGCATATTAACCTTCAGTTTCAATATAACAGGACAAATAATTGTTCACAATCGGTTAATAAAACTACTGGTGTAATCCAATTATCACAAAAAATATCCGAGTTTATAATTTTTATTATTGAGGTTCTAATAAAAAAAATGTGATACTTCCTCATAGTGTAGATTTTTAAAAAATTGTTTGGTAGTTACAATGCAATTTAGTTTAAAGTAACCCAACTTATATAGGAAACTATGTAAGAAATACTTGTAGTTAAAACCGGTTTTTAAATTTTGTGACTTGATGAGTGCTCGTGTGAAATTTTACACTATATCATTATTTTGAATAAAATAAACAAGCTCACTCTGAAAGTTTGCAAATTGCGGTTAAATAATAAACAAATTTTTATACATTATTTGTATAAATTAACAGTAAAATAATTAAATTTGCATACAATGAACAACATTTGTTTGTTTACTTTATTTTAGAATTCTAACGTTGGTATTACACATGAAATTATTATACTTGTTTTTATTCATAAAATCATACTTCATACACTAATTAGCTACTTCTTATTCTGTCCTCAATCCTTTATCCAATATTCAATGTAATGCATAGTCAATGTTAATGACGCATGTTTAAAACTCAATTCTGGTACTCAAAATCAAATTAGTATTAGGTCTTGTAGATTTATAAAATGTTAAAATTGATCATATTTCTCTAATTGATTATCAACTAAATTATAAGACTTCTAATTAACTTAGTATTTAGTAATTACTATTTACCCTGGTAACCATACGCTATTTATTCATTCTTGACTCTATTAATTATTATTTAACTGGAGTCACAGTTCGTTAATACTTGGAAAGAAATTAGAAAAATTATTATATAATTTTTTGTTTTTATTAAAGGAACATTTACAAAAAATACAATAAAAAATAATATACAACGAATAAAGAAATAGTCATAAACCCTTTTATTAGTAGCCATAGTTAAAAATGCATCCTACTTGTAAAATATTGCCTATCTTTTATCCCTTATTAAATTATATTTCTATAATAATATAATGTAAATTTTATCTTAAATTTAGATGATTGAGGATATTTTTTTCAACTTATAGCTTAAAAAGTACATTCAGTTAAAGTCTTTCATCTATAAACTATATTATTGTAGTGCAAACCCTGTATTATCGACGATAGTTCAAATCAGATATAAACCCTAAAACTATAATTGTCAAATTTATCTAGGTATCTATAATTATAATTCATTTTCCTCAAAACTAAAAACCTTATAAAACTAATAAAATTTTAGTTAAAAAAATATACTTAATGTTTACAAGAATTGACACCATGAACCGATAAATTTTCAACAAAAAAAAAATTAAACATAAATAAAATAACATAACTATAATATTATGCCAGAAAAATAAAATTGTATTTGATTTTATCACCATATCAACACCATGTATTATACAGTTTTTTAAACAACTACAAAAATTTAGTTTTTTAATTAGTTAATATTTTTAGATAATCCATTTTATATTATTCCTTGACAGATGTATTGTATCCGTACTTCTGTATTTCTAAAAAAAAAAAAAGTAAAATGTATAAAAGTACCATTATTGCTCAATGATTGGCAAGTTAGATTATGTAAATTATTAATCATGCTAATGATTTTTATTGATATTTTTTATCAAAAAAATGTCTTAAAAAACCGGGATCTACCTAGATAATTTATCACAATAGTAACTCATATTACAGCTATTCATCTTTAATAATCTCATGTATTCTACTTAATTTTCGTAAGATTTAACAAGGGTCAAATAACTATTCCAAATAAAGTGTTAGTATGTTCAGTTCAAAATTAAATTGATTACGGATGTTTTGTATCTATTCGAAAATAGCGTCTGAGCAAATAATAAAAAAACAGTGTCTCACCTTCAAAATAGTGATCTTTACTCAAAAAATGATGTATCCATGATGCTGGGTCGAAACATATGGCTCCACCGTAGTAGTCTGGCAATATGTTACGATTTATGTACTTATGCAACGAGCTTAAGTTGTTTCCATGGAAGTGTACCTGTTAATAATAGAACGTAATACGTACTTATAGTTGATTCATAGTAATTTGTCCCGTTTAAATGAACAAGCAGAATGTATAACCTACCCGGCAGCGTATCTTTTCTTTAAGAAAAGGTTTTATGATCGAATATACCGTGTAAATATAGAGTGGCTCGTTAATAAAATGAAACCCTTGAAATCTTAAAGGAAAATTCTCCTGTAACAATCAATAAACTCGAAACGGTTATATCATTAAACAAAAACCGTGTACAACAACAGTCATTTAACTACAATACTTTGTACATTGTTCAACTGATTATGAAGTCCTTGTTCTAATTTTAAATCCTCAAAAACCAGCCAAACGAACATCACGTATAATGGTTACTAATTACTTGGACAATTTCAGCGCCTTTCTTAGCATAGTACGGCGATAAGTATTTATGGTGTTTATGCCACTCAAATCCTGTTAAATCTGCAATTATCACAACTCCGGCTATTTGAGTCTCGGGTTCTTCAGATATGAGTTCAAACGTCATGTAGTTTATCTTAAATACATCGTCCATGCTGATATCAGGTAACGCTTTATCTATTAAATAATTTGTGTATTTCTTTATTAGACTCGATATTATTTAACTCATACATTTTTTTCCCCATTAATTTATTAAAAATATTAATATATGATGTTTTCACTCAATGTGTTCATGTGGTGTATGTATTCGTACATATTGTAGATATATTTTTTTTAATAAAAAAAAAACTTGCTTATTCGGAAAACGAATATTCTACGACCATGTTGATCCCTGTCAGGTAACATGAAGACGGCTCCTGTTTCTAAAAATAAATTTTTGGTCGACGGTCCCACATTTAAGTTATATAGTGTCGGATCTTTTTGTCTGGCTTTGTAATATCGCTGTAACTACAAAACAACGTTGTGAAGAAGCGTTATATTTTATTAGAGTGCTTTAATTAGATAAAAAAAACTAGACCAGTGAAATAAAAAATAGTAAAATATTATAGCACAACCATTACTAAAAATGAATACGAACAATATTTAATCGAACAAAACAAACATATAGTTGTTAAGATAAAACGGAATTAATAAACAATGAACAGATTTCGGTAGATTTTATTAAGGAAATTTAAGTACGTCTGAATGACTGAAACTGATGATGGTGATATAAACGATATGTTTGAGAAAAATAACAATAAATGAATAACATTTGAGTTACAGATCTAAATTATGTGGCACGAGCAAGATATGCATTCATTTTTGCACACAAAATAACTCTAAATAGATTGTGATGGAAATCGAAGAAGAAAATTATATTTAGTTAATAAATACAATGGAACTTATTTAAACTTTGTTAAAGAGAACGTCTGGTAGTTTCATTAAGAAATTGTTAAAGTTTTTGCGTTTCGTAGAACTTATGCAACAATAACATTTTTTTTTTTAAATAAATGTATTTACCGAGTGTTTTTTATTTACTTCTTTTTAAGTATAATATTTTATACCCTTGACCCTTACCAGATAAAATGCTTTGCTCGTATTGTATTTTCTTGCTCTTAAGAATTTTATCATAAATCCATCGTCCAATCTTGAATTTAGAGTAATGTCTTCTGTTGACAAAAAATACAAATGTAAATTACACTATTTGTTTATAATATTATGTTTTAATGTGACGACAAAAAAGTTCTTCAAGTAAAGGTTACATTTTGTTTGTAAGATTTACAGCAAAATCTTTAATACATAGTCAGGTAAAATGAGTTACAAATTACAAAATGTTATTTTAACACTGGGTATGGAAATAATAATCCTTTGTTGTACAAGGAATGTTATTGATTTGTCATTTAATTATTAAAACAATAAAAGAGTAAATGTTGAGAATATCTCGTTATAACTTAAGGATTTTATCATAATTATAAAAGTTGTAAATTCAAACGGTTTGCACTCTATTTACTTCAAAATCTAATCGTAATTATACTGTTTTATCAAAACAATATTATTTGTACTTACTTTTTATCAATTCTCGTAGTTGATTTATAGGGATTTGTAAATCCAAAGGTTCATTTATTTCTTTTTGAGCTCTTTGCTTCCACTCGTTTTGAATTTCAGCCATTGTAAAATGAAAGGCGTTTATGATTATTTAACAAATATACAATATTTCGTTTTTGAAAATAAATCCTACGCGTAGGATGGTATAAAAGTAATAGTATACTCCAAATTTGTACATGGACAGTGTAAACGTCAATGGTAAATAATATATATCTAGATATACTGAATAACAATAGGATATTGATAAAGATCAGAGAATACAAAAATTATTTTGCGCTGCGATGCACGACGTACTTAAAATAAATTGCCAAACATTAACATTGGTATTCATAGTCAAGGTAAAGCCTAATCGTGAAATCTGTGTACATACATAGGAGCACATTCATATTACTTTCTTTCCAATAAAGTTTAAACCTTTTTATTTTAAATCACTGTTTTCATGCATATTTACCAAGTAAATAATAAATATGCTTATAATAATACCGTATTTACAAGTATATAGATTAGGTGGATAGATATATTTCATAAATAACTTAATTTATTTTCTGTAAAAATATAATACATATCCTAATGGCCTCATAATATTTGTTCCGCTAATAAATGTAGCCGAATCTATAATAATTATATTAATATTCAATGTATGGTTAAACCATTTTAAGCGAATGTGGTGGTGAAAAACTGATTTAAAAGTACTACGTTTTTAAGTATTATCCGGGTGTCTTCCTGGATGTGGCACAAGCCTTTGACAGAGTTTGGCACATCGGCTTGCTGTATAAAATTTAATTATTCCTCCCTGCTCCCCTTTATTTACTAATTCAATCATATCTTGAAAATCATACCTTTAAAGTTCGTCATGGTAATGCCTTTTCCGCCCTCTTTCCTATATAAGCAGGAGTTCCTCAGGAAATTGATCTTTCTCCCGACCTTTAAAACATTTTCACTTCAGACATCCCTCACACCCAAAACACTAGTCTTGCCACATACGCCGATGCCACAGCTATTCTATCCTCCATAGTGACCCCATTGAAGCATTTAATGCTTTTCAACAAAACCATGAACAAATTGGAAAATCGTCCTTAAACTGGCAAATTAAAATCAATGCAGAAAAATATGTACATGTTTCTTTTACTCTCAACAAAAAATATACGTCTATTCTAACCCTCCAAGAAATTTCTATTCCCTCCTTGTCTCAAGTCAAATAACTGGGTATTATTTTAGACAAACGACTAACCTGGGGCCATCACCTAAAATCAAAAAGAACGTCACTAAACACTCGTTCGCATTTACTACGTCCTGTACTAAAATCCAAAATCGCACTTCATAACAAAATCCGTATTTATAAGCCAATGTTAAGAACAATTTAGTCATACGGAGCTCAAATATGGGGTTGTGCTAAACCATCCAAACTAAAAAGAATAGAAGCTTTCCAACCAATTTCCCTCCGTATAATCACGTCCGCTCCATGGTGAGTTTCCAACCTCACCCTTGATAATGACATACACATCGAATCAGTTAAAAGTTTAGTTAAGACTCATTATGAAAAGTTCCACTCAAGATTACTTCTCCACTCAAATCCATTAGTAGCAAGCCCTCACACAGCCACTATTCCGGACAACCCCCCTCGTCGTCTAAAAAGACGTCGGTGTCGTGATCTTCTAATTACAACGCTACTGTTTGATTTCTAGCCGTAACCTGTCATAAGGGTCCTATTACTGGATAGCTTCTTTACTTATAGTCTCCCTGTAATTTATTTACTCTATTAGCATATTTGCCTATTGTATATGTACAGATTGTAAATGTTATTTAAAATTAAAAATTAAAGAAGTCAAAATGTGGCATTTAGCTGTTGCTTCATGTTTTAAATAGTAGATGGATTTTCTCCTTCATTAATTACTAAAACAAAATAGCAATGTACATTATTGTGGTTCCATTTTATCATACCAAAGCTTCTTATGGAGTATGATCCATGCAGCGTACTATTATAAATTTTTTCAAAATCCAAACAGCTTGTTCAGCTATAAAAAAAAAATAATGTTCAATTGTTTCAATTTTTATGTAGTTTTTACAACAAAATTGAATATTATTTTCCGGTACAATTAGTTTTGTATTCTATATATTTATATATTATATATATACATGTCCGTAAATAACAAGATTGAAGTAAAGTGGTCTTTTATTATTTTATTTATATAGAAATAAATAAAATGCTTGGCTACAATAATTTTTTAATACTGTTTAGTTGTTTAGTTAGTGTTGAAACTAGAGACAGCATAACAATTATTTTATTTAATTAAAAATGTTCAGGTCGATAACACAAAGATAAGTTCAAATACCGTAAACGCAATCAAACCTTAAAAATATGCAAAACGAGGTATTATATTATAATTTATTTTTTATATATATTTTGTACTTGATGTAATACTTATTTTTCTTTTATTCAGAATCACAATAATTCGGGATCTCAGATCCATAAAGTTATCGTAATGAACAGAGGCCCTAAAAAATTACCGCCTCAAATTGTTGTTATGGATTCAAAAGTAAAAGTACAGTACAAATGTCGCCTACTTAAACAAAAAAATTTAACTCTTAGGTATGTTAGGAAAAGTTCATAATTTATAATTTACAACACTATAATTTGAATAAACTACTTTATAAAATTACATATTATGGTCATTAAAAAAAATTAAAAACAGTGGAATTTGTCGAAATACCGGTTTTTACTTTTTCACGCTAAATATTTTATTTCTCTATCTATGTATATTTTAGGTATAGACCCCCAAAACCGTGTTTATGCTCTTGTCATTGACATGAAATGATTTGATAAACTGAAATTGAATTTAAATTCATAGAACATTAATTAATTTGAAATATTTTACTGATAGTTAACTAATAATTATAATTATTAATGGTAATTTTTAAGTAAAATTCTTTATCGTTATTTATTTATTATTAGCAGCTAAAAACATGTGAATCTTTCGGTGACACATTTGTTTCGTTTTCTGGCGAACAATCTCTAAACTCTTCTTTCTCCGAAGAAGAAGAAAATATAATCAAGTAAGAGTTGTTTCATTAATTTTGGCACTTCACTAATCGTTCCACCATCAAACTTTAATATATTAGGGTATCGCCTATTGTTCGAAAGCCGGTAGTACGTGTGAAATCGAACGATTCGTTGATATTAAAATTCAAAAACGACGCATGTGAACTAAATGCATGTTTGAAAAACATTCTCGAAGAAAATCAAGAGATTCACTGTCAACTCAACGCTACAGTACTTTCTGTTATTCGGATTGCCTTTATTTAGTAATTAAATATTATGTTTTTCTTATAGATCCAAAGAAACACGTTACTGGAAGATGCACTAAAACAACCGGTTAAATACGTTCATACTATCGTATAGTCGGTTATTTCATAAAAATTTTTTGTAATGATTTTTTTAGGCGCCATTTAAGAAAACTCATACAGGATTCAGATTTCCCGGTAAAAAAGAAATGGTAAGAAACCCCATTTAACCCGTAGCACGAATAAATAAATTACTCTGTAGTAATACCAGTCGCTATTCAGGAAGAAAAACTAAAATTAATGAAAGATGAAATAGTGAAACTCAACTCTCAAATAACCGAATTGCAAACCAGCCGCAACAAATTAAATTTTGTTAAAGCATTTTTCAACGAATATAATGCCATATCGCTTAATTGTGACGTAAGCAAAAGCAAGTGTTTTAGTAAATACACTTTGTTTAAAACTAATTTTGTTTGTAAAATTGAACCCACTTAGTGCAAAAAAACCGTGTGCCCCAAACAGAACTTAGATGAAGTTATCCGAATCAAATCCGAACAAATTGTGCAGATTAAAGCCCAAACAAAGTAGGTAAATACAATACCGTTTTAACATTACACGCAGGTTACCACGTAACTCTTTGGTTGGCGCAGACGAAAGACCGAGGAGTTAAACATGTTAAAAACTGAATTCGAAAAGACAGTGAACGCTAACACTGCAACAATTGAAAAAACCCGAGAATCCTTTTTGGAACTATCCGATTTGACTTCACAAATCCAAGAAATATCTGAAGTAAGTAGCAACGCTCTAGATCTCGTTTATCCGTGCACTAATTATGCATAATTTTGGACTTAATTTGGAATTAATTTAAGTGCATATATATAAAGCTATCAGTGCCACCTCCTTAGGGACGAGGTTTATAAACACATTAGTTATCCATCCGGGATAGTCGGTCCTTCACCAGACAGGATAATTGGATTCTAAAATATTTGTTTATATTGTTTATTTGAACTGAATGATGATATCGTGGTAGGTGGCTACGATGTATTCTTGCACCCCGTCTGGGTGGATGATAGTTAAATTAACAAGAAAAAATAAAATATTATATATTTTGAAAAATGTCAATAATATCCCATACTAAACTTTATAATGTCGTCAACGTAATATTTCCAAAAAACATAGTATTTTATTAAAATAAAGAAATTGTTTGTATGAATTTGAAAACTTATAAAAGTCGAACTTAGCATTTTCATGTAACAAAAATTTAAGTTAATATTATTTATTAACATAAAATATGAATAGAACAAATAATTTATGCAAAAAAAAAAATTAAATATTATGACTAAAATAAAAGCCATGTCAAAGCGTAAATGTATATTGTTATAATATTATACATTGTATGATGTACGAAAAAAAAATGTAACAGAGTTCAGAGTTTGGACAAGGCGTCAATGAAGATGATTTGAAAAAAATGTTGAACCAGGAAAATAATAAAATCGTTTCTTTGGAGATGATAGTAAAAAGCCGAAATAACGAAATCTCCGATTGTGAGGATAGTGTACGTATATATTAGGCCAGCGGCTTCCTTAAGTCTAGGCAATGAGCAAAATAGGAATTTAAATTATTGTTTGGGATTAGACGGCCGATGTAGAAAAAGATATCCGAGACTTACAGGAAATAATCGATTGTGAGCAGAATAAATTGGAAAGCACTTCGGAAAATTTCAACAAACTATTCGACAGATTAGTGGTGAGTGTAAAGCGTACAGTAGAGTAAATGATTTATGAGCGTTTGTTAAAAATCGTTTGATCAAATTGTCGTTGCAGGATGTTTATCAGACTCAAATAGAAGATTTGACAGCCATTCCGGTTCTATTGAGCGTCACTTACAAGAAATTGCAGAAAATCACCGACATGCGAGTGTTAGCAGAAGATACGTGTGATAAGTTGCAGAATGAATTTAACGAAGAAGCAAAAACGGTCAACTTACATGAAGTATAAGATGAAGTTATGTTAAAGAGATATGTTGTCGTCGTTACTGATGAATAATGCATCTTTCAGAGCGTGGCCGAAGAAAAAAATCGCGGCCAACAAGCAGAACAAGAGGCAAAGCTTTTATTGACCCAACTCGACGCCGAGAAAAGGGCGCTCGAGTAAAACTATTTCCTAACTTTAATGGTCTTTACTTGTTACTTGAACCCAAGTGACTATGCGTTTTAGGTCAAAAATCACGTTCATTCGTCAGAAATTGAGTTACGCGACTTCGGCACTTAACGACGACTTATCAGCACAAGAAATGGCCAGCAAGGAAGTGATGTTGACTAGCGACGACAGCGCGAAACAGATAAATGCTATGAAGAAGTACTCCGACGATTGCCTGTGCAGGAACATAAACGAGGTGATGTGTTTGAAAGACCTGCTGGCAGAGTTACGGACCAGAGAATGCGAAAAATCCGTCATGAGGAAAAAGGTATCACCGCGTTATTCGGTATTCATTTTAAAGCAGCTATAGAAATTTGTGGTTGTCCACTTGTAGGTCTTAGACGAGATACAACAAAAAACGAATATGCTCGACGAAACATTTCGAAAAACTATTACCGAAGTCACGTGTGTTCAAAAAGCCATTAATGAAGCCCCGTGTATTTTAACTATGTTGGATTAAACATCTTTGCAATACTAGATTTATCGTATCAAAATATTTATTTTGGTAGGAATTTAACTAAGATATTATTCACTACAAATTAAAATAAATATATATATATAAATATGATACGTTTAATTCGGTATTATATGCCAATACTTAAAAGTAGAATGATAATAACTAATTCGTATAAATTCCTATAGAAACATTTACATGTTTCTTTATTAAATATTAATAATATATATTTGAAAATATGGGTAATAGTTACTTTTTTCAATTACGTATGACTTACTAACAAATTGAACAACCATAAAACTAGGAGGTCAAAATGTTACTTTTGATGTGTACTTACGTTTGAAATTTAAAAAAAAAAATATAATATTACTAATATTTTACATTCATGTCAGACCGTCCTGAAAAAACCTTATTTCGGTAACTAATTTTATAATGAACATTTTTATATAAATTCAGAATTTAATAAACACAGTTTTAAGCATAATAATTATTTTAAGAAATATATAAAAAATTACCACGCTTAAAAAGTGTGTTTTTTTTAATGCGTTATTTTAATGTGCTGATGTTATATTTGTAAAAGGTCGAAAATTAAAATTAAAAAATAAACAAATTTTTGGTGCACTTATTTTATGCTAAAATTGGACCTATATGGTTATGAGTTAAGACCGTTCACCAAAGATTTACTACGAGATATGTTTTAAAACAAAAAGTACACTAACAAAGTATTGTATTATACCTATAACATGATAAACTCATTAGAACAAAAGGTATGTACAATGACTCTTATACACCAAGTATTAGAGTAGAAAGGTCACTATTTTCATACTCGTTTAAGTAACCTTTTAATGTCAGTCGTCAGTTTGTAATTTTAGATTTAATATATAATTTTATGAGTGTAGCACAACATATAGTATCGAATACCTTATTAAATTGTGTACTACAACTCAATACAAATATTTTCATGACGGGGACGTTAGTTCACGAGTTTAAAACAATAGTATGTCTTGCGCGGTTGGGTTGTCAAATTGTACGTTAGGTATTATAACATGACTGTATTAAATGTTTAAAATTGTCTGACGATATGGAGATCGGAGACTACTGACGACGATGACGCTGCCGCGCCGGAGAATAATCAGTTCGATAAAAACGCATGTGTGTACATTTTTTAATCTGCAAGAGAAGGAAACATTTTTTATTGTAATATAATATGCTCGTGCCTTGGTCGTTTGTGTAGCCTTTCATTGTTGTGTTGTTATCGAAAAAAGCGGCGGTGGCGATGACAATAATTCCATAATAATATATAATAATAATAATAACATTTAAAGTGAGAACGTCCGCTTGGGCGCGCGCACTTCATCGGAATAATAATGTGTAGCGGGCGGCGGTTTAGTTGACGTACCAACGGGTTGTGACTTGCGAGGTCCCCTTCTGAAACAAGACAAGGAGACTTAATTGACCCTTTCGATCACTCTAAATCCACACTGGTTCCCTCTCCTTTTTACTCCATTTACTTAATTATTAGTCACTACCGGTACGCGGACGCATAGCACACTATTCTCGTGACAATAATCGTGATATCGGCCTGTATGATTCTTACTCTTGCGCTGTATCCACAGTAAACGTTTGCCGTCCGCCGTTTATCTACATCAATGCTGTGAGTAATAATACTATGGTCATCGCCTACTTGGTCGAGTGTCCACTGTAAACACTGATCAGGTATAACTGAGATCACGCGGCAAACGACATGAGGAAAATCAGAGCAGTGTACGTTTTGGCGGTATTCCTGTATTTTGCTTGGTACCCTTGCTGCCAATCGACTCCGGCCGAATGTGACTTCAACGAAAGGTACATATAACTTTTAAGTATTTTATTACGACTTTATTTACCCGTTCATACCACTCAAACCGATCCCCATATTAAATCGTATATCTTTAGTTGTCGGCCATAACCAGACAAGCCTTATTTTTACAACAAAAAAAACTTTCAAGTGTTTTTGACTCGGCAAAAAAATCTATAAACCAGTGAAAAATCTTTTTTGCCAACACTTTACTAAATTAGTTAATAGTTATGTCCATACTCTCCGATCTTCTCTCTTTAAAACATGCACATTGCACTTTCAACGTAATAACTCTTTATATATCCCAACGCAGTGCTACAAAATTAATCATAATTGAAAATCTACAACGTTGAGACTAGTATATTAAGAAGTTAACAAAATGTGGTAATAATATATAAAAAGCCAAAATGTACTAAGTAACTAAAGAACTTTGTTAAAGATGCTGTCTGCGTTTCAAAAGAAAATGTAAACATTAAAACGTATAATCGTATTGACATGTTTCTCAACGTTCAAAGAGCTGTTTTCGTAAACAAAAAGTTGTATTTATCGAGGCAACTCAAAATTAAAAATGGTTTTAATTCAATTTTTATTCAAATTAAAAAACTAGTTAAGGTTTTAGTATTCTATACTCTTAATAATTTGAGTAAACATTTATTGTAGTTATAAACAAAAATGTAAATTTTGGCTTACCAACATTTTACCCTAACCTAACCTAAATATAATAGACTCTAGGGCATCAGTACAAATCGATATTATTGCATTTAAAACTATCCTTAATGACATGAATCAAGTATATCTCTACTAAATTATTAATTATTAATTTTAAAAAAATTGAAGAAGTATTTATAATTAAAGTTGTGTAATAATCATTTTTTTTTTTTAACAATTCAACCACCGTAGAATAAATTATTTTTAAAAATTACATTTTTATTTCATCTTTTACTGTATAATTTACCTCACAATAAAAATATATTACCAAATACTAAAAAAATTTAATTGAAAACCGTTCATTGTATTCTAGAAACTATTAATGATAATATGCTAAATATTGATAAGGATAATATATTTAAAAACACGAAGTTGTTTTGATATATTTTTTTTTTAAATCCGAGAACTTAAAAAAAATCAAGTTATTTATTATCTTGAACATAAAATAAGTAAATTGTAGTAAATTTGTAACTTTACTCACATTTTAAATTAACTAAAAATATTGCGAATAAACTCTATATACCTTGTTCCTTAAGTTAATATTGGTTTCGGCGTGAAGCATGATAGAGCCTGGTTCGTAGGCTATTTTCTTTAATAATGTTGCCTTAAAATGGGATTTTTTTTAACGTGATTTTTTAATAAATGTTTTAATGATATTTCTATAACTTTTTATATCTCTTAAAACATACTTTTAAACGGTCGGTATGCATATTTTCTAAAAAAATTAATTGTAAACATCGAATTTAAATATGGTAAGGTTTGATTGGAAATCGATCATTTGTAGCCACTAGTGCACTATACTTCATAGAGCCCTGGATAATTATTCAAACCTAAAAGAATCAAACGAATTTAATGCATAATATCCCAGTGATTCTTATAACGATTTTTATCTTTTTTAGTATTTTCTAGAACTTCATTAACTTTTGTAATTTAAATGGTAACGTATATTATATTTATTTAAATTTTGAATTAAGAATAATTTGCTGAAAATGTTGACTAGTCTATAACCAGTTTTGAATAATTATTTTTTAAGTTATTTAAGTTGAGTAACGCGTGCAATAACAACTCTACAGTCCTACATTTAAAACTTTAAAACTTTTTATTCAAAACAGGTTATCGACTAGTAAACATATTCAGCAAATTATTCTCAATTTAAAAAGTTAATTAAATATATACGTTACCATTTAAGTTTCAAAAGTTTATAAAGCTCTAGAAAATACTAAAAACTTTATTTTGTCACTTTATTATATGTAATTGGTCAACTATTGACCAGCTAGTTAGTCCTTTTTTTTTGGAATTTTTAATGTTAAGTTATTATAATTTTGTAATAGTTCTTATTAACATATCATCAAAACAATAACTTCTGTTTTACAATTAGCCATTTACATTTTAAACTATTTTACTTGTATATGAACTTTTAATAAAATTACTAACTAGATTAGGTACTAGGTTGAATATTATAGACAAGATTGTAATTTCGATTTTGATTGACACATAATATCATTCCTAACTTTATCTTACTCGATCATTTGCCTAACCAATCAATATTATAATATATGTTTTATTGTTTATCGCTAATCTAGACATAATTTAGTACTTTGGAATTATCATCTACTTATTTTATATTATACTGTTTTTGTAAATTAGCTACGATGAACTGGTTACCGTCAACGTCAAGGAACCGGTTACTATCCGGAAAAATGAATGGTGTTTAAAAGTCCCGCCAAGGTGCCCAGTCGACAGACTAGAATACAGGATGGTGCCTAAGAACATAGTGAGTATAAGCAGAGGAAGACCGCAAAGGGTTACTCCCTAAGGAGAACACCAAATATGGACTATCTTACTCAAAATTATATTGTACGGCTTTCAGTTAAATTATAGTAGTTATTTGTGTTTAGACGGTGACTAAGACAAAAACGATCAAACGGTGTTGTCTTGATCACACGAGACTGTACAATATCTGCGTGCCCAGATGCAATCCAGATCAATGTCCAAATATGTTGTGCTCAGTGGACGATGATAAATGCACATGCAAACCGGGCTACGTGGGCCGCAGTTGTCAGACAAGTAAATATAATCAGTGACTAAATAAGATATGCTATAGACCATCGTTGATCGAGTACTTATAATAGTTATACCTCAGCATCATCCACCTCTTAACTGAAAAAAAATAAAGTGTATTCAAAAGTTAAAATGTAATTGACTTATTAAAACAAATTTTTAATAAATTAATAATGATTTATTACAATTTGTCCATAATTCGACCAAGATTTATCGCTTTTATCTGTATTTTAACAAAATTCATATTATAATTGATTTTTGACAATATTTGATCTGCCCAAATTTATTATTTCTAAAGATAATACAATTCACTGCCTTAAGGATAATACATCATTTTAAATAATGAATTAACAATTTTATGCATTATTTAAATTCTACAATTAACCGCATAAATAAAATATAGTTTTAGAAATAGTTGTATTTTATCACATTCATACGATCTATGTACGTATTTATTTCTATTAAAAAAACGAGTAAATTATTAAAGGTTAAGAATTACTTGATCTACCAACTATAGCAGCTTATAAGAGTAACCGCTAAAGAAAAAATATAAAATGCACGCATTGCAAAATTAAATTGTGTCTAGTTTATTTTCATAATCACAACGGATGTATCTAATCATCTGGGTAATATAATCTGTTTACGTTTTGATCATTATATAGGTATGCGCACTTAAATGAATTTATTAAAAAACACCGAGTCATACATCCCACTCGTTTTTACAGAAGCCAAAACAAGGGATAATATAACTTTGAATATGTTTTTCAAACCGTCATTAAATGTTAAATACTACAGTATTATTAGAAGTACTAGACAGTCTACTGCCATATTAAAAAATACAGCAACAATATTATGATAATGTATATTGTATTCCATTCATGTATGGTTTAGTTAGGATTACTTTTAAAATCTGGTTGCTAAAAACGTATACAAAGCAGGTCACGGACCCTCTATGTTTAATCCATCGTTTCAACAAATTTTCAATTAAAAACTATAATTAAGTTAAAGCGACCTATATTGCGGTTTTCTGTCTTCATTAAAGTAAAACAATTTATTTATTTTAATAAATGCAATTAAAATGCAAATATTAAAATAAACACGTATTACACATAAGTTTGATGAATTTAATCGACATTCTATAATATTGACTTAAAGGAATCAGTCAATATTAAATTTATACACTTACGGTTCGGTTGTTTTTTTTTAACGTTTCTAATTAAAGTTATCCCCGAGGGTTTGATATGAACATTGTGAACCTAAAAGACGGCTTTATGTCTAATTGGTATTTAATTAGTACATTAATTATTTACGTGAGTTTGAAATATCACCTTTCCAACTAAATTCACCGGGCTTTTGCGTTAGTTGGGCCAATTAGCTATTCAAATCAAGTCGTACGAATCTCACACCATGTCATGCTGAAAAAATGATAAACTTTCAAAAATAACTTTTTATTATTTATAGGATTTATAGTTTATAAATTTCACTCTTGGTTTTAATAACCATTCATAACCATTGAAGATATAATCATAAAATATTCATATTAGTCTATTATGTATGTATATTTTGTTATTTTTCAGATCTAATATTAAAATAGTGTCAGTTTGCTTATTTATTTTAACTTTATGTACATCTATAACGAATGTACAATCGCAGTGAATGTATAATAATTTTTGTTATTTTATTTAAAAAAAAAAATAGTAATTATAATAATAATGAATAACAAATGAACAAACGTTGTATTCACGTTTAGCTGTAAGCGTTTTTTAAAGTTTACTCGATAGATTAAATAGTGTGTAAGATAATACCCAATAGTGATAGTATTACTTAAGTGCCTACTATAGTATGCACGAATTAGTGTAACATCAGTGAATGGTTCATTATATTTTAATAAGCACTTCGTCGGCGCTTCGGTTTCCGTCTGATGCCATTAATAATTAAAATACGTCCACAGAGACTATTCACACCAAACCTGCCGTAGTCTTAAATCATACAGTAGGAAACTTTTGTGAGTTCCTACACGGTTTTGAACTTTCTTCCACTGAGTGGTGTGCGGTAAAGTAAGTGAATTTTGGCAAAAAACAACAAATTATAGTGTGTTAATTGACAAGTGCAATGTTTTAATAACATTACTTACTACGTTTGATGTAAAATATACATCTGTCGTTTCCGATGCTTTTGTCTATGAAAAATGCCTGATATATTTATAATACACCTAAAATACGTTTAAAGCGCGCAGAAAACAAATTCTAGATGCCCCAAAGAATGCAGTACGGATTAGGTAATCCAAATACTTAAGTTGTAAGCAGAATCAGACAAATTTCGGGCAAATATTCTAATCTATATATATATAATTGAATGTCTGTCTGTTTGTCTGTCCTTTATGCATTAGTACACCATTCATCCGATCGCCATGAAACTTTGGAAAGTTGTTGAGTACACTCCCGTGAACCTAACTGACATAGTACTTTTCGAAAATTCCACCCCTAAGGGTGGCCTCAAACACGAACTTTGTACTTTAAATACGAAATGTAAATAAATTAAATGTTTGTAACCATAGTAACCTAAAATAAGCACTTGAATTGTAACCATGGTAACCACGGTACTCGAGCAAATGGTAGATGATGATTAAAGGAACAGGCCGATTCTATGTACCACGATTCTGGGCAAGATTTTAACTGTTGGAACGGGATCTGGACCTGAGACTGGGACCGGGACTGAGACCCTTGAGTAAGAAAAGGACATAATAACCGAAAAAAGTATCACAAAAACGCTGTCACGCTGTTATGATAAGAAATAAGATATTAGAGATTAGAGATGAGGGATGGAGATGAAGGTGGGGATGGTGATGGAGGTGGGAATGGGGGAATAAGAATTATTTTACTCAGCCCTGGCAGACTAAATCTCGGGTAACGCCGGGTCCGGACAGCTTGTAAATGATACAAAAAGATAAATACTTAGGTAAATAATCATTACGCTGTATGCTGACAATAATAATAGTGTGGGTGATTTATTTTACCTTGTACTAATTTGTTTTGAAAATAATTATAATTTTGTACTTTTTTTAAAACGTTAAAGGTTAATTTTTATACAATATTAAGAGATATCCAAATTTTTGTTGTTTTTCTTTTGTAAATTCCAGTGTTCTATTAATTTTGTATTATAAAAGGTAACGAATATATATTTTTTATTTTTGAACTAGAAATAATTTATTAAATGCTTAGTCCATAACCAGTTTTAGATAAATAGTTTTAATATTTAAAATGTGAATATTGACCTAATAAGTTTCGTAAAGCATGGGTAAAAAATGTAATTTACCCTATCAAAATAGGAAAATCTTAAAAAATAGCAAACAATAAAAAATTCTTGTTACTATTTTTATATGTATACACTATAGCTTAAGCTCTTAAATAAGATTTTGCAAAAAAAAAAAATGTTTCCAGTTTACTTCTTAGAAATAAGCAAAATGGCATTCTCTTAAAGTTTAAAATTTAAGTTGGAAGATGGAATGTGGTTTAGCAACGAGTGAAGAAAAAAATAATTATTTCAAACTGATTATCGATCAGTCAAATTTTTCAATTATATATTTATTATAATAAACCAAATAATTATGAGTAGACATACAATAGGTATAAATATGAAGTATTTAACTCAGTTTACAGTTATGTCAAAATATTGCAAAGACTGTTTTAAAAATACTGCTGTCTCCGATTCAAAAGTCTGTCTTTAACAGAAAATGTGAACATAAAATAATATCTGGCCTTAATCGATTTACTGACAACATTTATCAATATTTAACATTTCTCATAAATCAATTATCGCCAGTAAGTGCCTACCTTACAAATTCATTGGACTATCCTATATATATTGTTACATCCTAATATATCCTTATATCCTCCGTAATCCATATCTATAAATAATATTTGAAACATATTAAACAATCATTTAACTATCGTTCATTCAATTGTATTCAATACCGTTTAGGCTACAACATACCGAAAGATTTTTAGAATTTTAACAAAAAATTTATTTTTTTTTTAATTGGAAATTCTGTAAAAGGTAAAATTCAATAAATAATAAAAAACACCTAAAAAAAGGAAGTTTTCCCAGAATAAAACTTGCTTATAAGGTATAAACATAATATGCCGTTTGGCCTTTAATTCCAAGAAGAATCTGTTTAAACGAGATCTTTTTTACATTAATAATATTCATTCATAAAAGTAATTTAATTTTAATAAAAAAGTTGCGGCACTTTAATGTATAGGCATCTTTACTTAGAAATTAGAATTACTTCAGAATAAATTCAATAACTTTGTATTTCATACATAGGTATTTTATAGGGAAATGGAATCCAACTGTATGACAAGAATCATACATTATCATTTATTAGTTACCAAAATTATAACAACACAAACAGAATACAACTTGAATAGAAATAGTTGAACAGCTAAAAATGTTTCGCATATTTAAAACAAAAATTCAATTAAAAAAATATTTTACGTTTTTTCTCTAACCTTTTTTTTAACGAAGAGGGGTGTATGAAGATAACCAACCATAGAGTTATAGTAAAGTATGTATAAGTGTTGGCCTAACATTTATACATACCTACATTTTGCAATAAAGAATAATTGAACTAAATTTAGTTTAATTGATCATTCGTAATGATGACATAGACTGAACATTTTAGTTCTATAATACGTGTAAATTAATTGATTCCCAAATTTATTTTATTATTTGATGTAAGACAACGCTGATGTAATTTGTAAGTAATATAGGTACTAGTTCTATGTTTAGGAAAAACACATATTAAAAATAAAACGAAGTAACTTATATTGTAAATAAACCAAACAGAAAAATATTTTTAATGAAATTATGATTTTAGCTATTTAACGTTTCTTATTTTCTATGACAACACTAAAGTTACAACATAAATAGTAATAATGTATAGACAGTTTATACTCAACAGTAGCACGTATGAAACTATAACCATTAAAGGAAAACCAAGTAAAGTTTTGACTGTTGATAGATAAAACATATTCCCAAGTAACTTATTTCCAATATCATTTCAGGAAAACATATTTTTAATGAGGAAATTATAAAAAAAAATTAACCAATATATCTTCATAAGACAAAGATCATGCCACAACGTGTTTTGATACTTCTGATTTGTTATGTATGGTTTTACAAAAAAATTTGTGTTCCTAAGAAGTATACTTTTGTACTTAGTTATTATAAAAATTACTTATATTCAACGGGTTTTTAGACAGTTGCAGATGAACAGACAAAATTCAATTATTTACGTTCAATGTATGCGCGTTATTTAACAAAGTTTTCTTAGTTATAAAATATTTGTATTGAACTTATTTTATACGATTTAACGTGTCTATTCACGATGGAGCTAATTAAAAGGCGAGAGATTGTTTCTACCAGAAAAGATTTTTTTCTCATCGAACCATTTTAATAGAACTTTATCTTTAGTAGCTTATAACACTAAAGTTTCAACACAATTTTCTCAGTAGATGTACGCGTAGTCCATTATACATAGTACTTCTCAATCAGAAATTGAATCATAGTTTTTTATCGACACGACAATAATTGTTCATTGTATAATATCGTAATATACGACTATTTATTTTGATCATTTTAGTGGATATCGATGTCAACAACTGTGTACATTTGACTATTATTTGTTGTACATTAGAATCGCGGGTATTACTTAAACAAATAGTCCATAAGACAAACATTTCATTATTTTGTTATTATATAATATTTATCTTCACTCAATGTGATACACTTGCCGTCTAATAGTCTTATTTTCTAAATATAACAAATACTACAGTCATAAAATGTAATGTTGTCTCGTTAATAAATAGCCGTCATAATAATTTGTCAGTTAAGTAGTAAATTGACTGTTCTATTAGAAATAGAAAAATATTTCGGGGTTTAATACACGAGATAATAAATTTTAATCAGAGTTGTAAAATTTCTTATTCGACTAAAACGTTATTCGAAAATTAGCTTCCTATATTTATTGGTTTCATATATTTTTTAAACGTAGAACATAATAGATTTTTACGAAATAATATTTTCAAATATGGTTAAGTACTTGAAAAAATCACTAACAAACTATTTAAAATTATATTTTTAAAAATGATTTGAATAGATTTGACTTGAATTACGTATTATCTAGATGATTACACTTTGCTTTTAATCATATTTAATTGCTTACAACATGTATGAAAATAATAATTTGATTCATTTTTTATTCAAGAAAAGCTATTGCACTTTTTACAATACAGTTATTTTATTTAAAAGTTAAAACATTATGACATTTTTTTTTTTTTTTTAATATTTTAAATATAAATTTGTTCAAATTTGTATAAATTACATTAAAAAAAAACTAAAATGTATAATCGGGAACGATATTTTTAAAATATGATTTCGTTACTTGATTACTTTAGACATAGACGCATAGTAGTATTAAATGAATTGGCAAGGTCTGTTTATTTTACAAAAATGGTATTGTTATACGGGGTGTATTTATTAAGCAAGCCATTGGTTACTAAATATAACTTTTGTTGTTGTTTATTAGGATGTGAGTCTGGAACGTGGGGTGACCGATGTCGGAACTTGTGTGAAAATACCTGCCCCGATTGCGACCACCAGACCGGAAGTTGTTCGTTCCATCTGCTTCTGAAGAAGATCTCGGAAGATGCCAACAGTGCTGTTGCGCATTTGGAACCCCAGGATGTACTAACTGTCTCTCTGACAACTAATCAAACCGATTCTACGCCAATCAAGTCTGATACGCAAATAGATTTACAGAATAATGCCACATCAACTTCAACTAACCCAGCAACGAACTCTACTCCGACGCCGGAAACTACAGCTACTCTTACTAGCTTTCTGGAGGAGCACACGTCGACGAAAAAACCAGGTGGGAAAAGTCAAGGCTATTACCGGGACTTTGTTATGACCGTCACCAACGCCAAAGCCACAGTGTACAACAGCTATGACCCGGATGAACTAATGAAAAAACTCATCTGGATATCATTTATAACCGTGGCGGCAATTGCCATGACATTCGTTGTGATGCTGCTTGTGTTTTTCAAATGCGTTGCCTCCCCTTCAACCACGCAAGTCAGGCAAGAGCTGGCAGTACCCAGTGACACCAAAAACGGTGAGTAACAAAAGTATGGGGTAAAGCATCAAATTATACTTAATATTTATATAAGTAGTAAATACAAGCATAGGTTTAAATAACGTTTGGATTCAAAAGAAATGTATTTATTTATTTTACGGAAGTAAATTCTATTAACAACGATTATTACAGAAATAATTAACAGTAGAATAAATAAGTACAACAATATGTATAGAAAAATAATTCATATTTAGAGAGCAACTGTTAAGGATATTATAGGTATTAATAAAAAAAAAACAATTTAACCAATGTAATAACTAGGGTTACAAATATGTCTTGTATCTAAATAGTTACAAAAAATAAATCTAAGGTATAAGAGTTTTCAAGTGGCATTAAAATGTAAACTAGCGGTTAATACAAATATTATTTACTATAATTTTGTAATACAAAAATAATCTCTATTTTTTGTATTGTTAAAAATAAGTTCAAAATTAATATTTTGTTACTGATAAAAATCTATGAAACGTTTAATATGATGTATAAAATTTGAATACGATTTTTCACTCTCCGTTGAAAATACAATTTATATTAATGACTTTTAAATATTGAACCAAATGTATGTAGATTGTATAAATCAAATGTAGTATTAACCGATTTATAAAAATCACGATGTTATGTTTAACTTGTATATAAATCTTTAAAATCTTCTTGTATGCCATTTATTGTATCAAAAAATGCAGGCAAGCAGAAAACACAATTTATTTGTTTTATGTTTTTTATTTTATCGATAATCTAACACAAGACGTAATCAATTTATTTTCAGAGTCATACAACATGAGCATGATGTCGAACAGATACACCAAGACCCCAACGCCAAAGCACGAGGGTAAAATACATTTTATTTCACCATTTTTTTTTTATGTATTATATCGAATAATATATATTATAAAGATATAAATATACTATTTGGGGCCGCAGCTACCCACTCTTGCGATCAATCGACGTTGTGTGCTCGTTTAATGGTAATCAAATCAAAACTATGTTTTATGAATAACATATAGTTTTGAATAAAAACCTTTGCCTCAAAATTGGATATGTATGAGGCCTCTAAATATTCTAGTATAGAAGTCATAGTATTATAGTGTATAGTGTACGCGTTCAAATTTCTCAGTTGCCGATATGCTTTAAAGTTTAAGTCTCATAATAATATTACTGACTACTATAAAGTTTAAACACGAGCTAAGCTGCATCGAAGCTAAAAAATAGAATTCAAATTTTTTAATGATATCATCATTTAAATTCCCTATTGAAAAAAACTTTAAAAAAATGTTAATGTTATTCGAATTTATAAATTATAATATTAATTACTTATACTTTAAAATGGTTTGCTTATAGTTATCAAAAGTGCCATGCATGTTCCTTCCGAAACATTTTGTCCGGTTTTCAAAGCTCCTAATTATTTTCCTGCAGGTGAGTATTCAATTAAATTACCATGTTAAATATGTAATTTGAACTGTTCTTTAGTACTTCAAAAGTAAATAATAAAATTACTATTTACCAAATTAAGTTCACTTAAGACAAAATAATAATGGTTTCTCCGTAAATGATTGTAATATAAATATACAGAAAACTCTAAAACTTTCATTTACAAAAAATATTATTTGGAGCTACAGAGTTGATTATCATTTATCTTTAACTATGTCGTATTTGTTTTATATTTAACCTGTTTCCTTTCCATTGTTTCAGCTGGAAATGACGTATACGATTACCCACAACCAATTTATGAGGTCCTGTGTTAAACAAAAGCATAATGCTTTGTATAATTATTTTTAATTTAGTCTTAGCATTGCAAAGACCAAAGAGTTAAATGAAAAGTGGTTTATATATTTTTTTGTATTACTCGTGTTTATAGTTTTTAATGTATAATAAATTTATGCGTTCGCATATAAATGTACAGTGACCGACAAACAGGCGAATCAAATACATTATTGATTCAATGCAGGTTAAATGCAGTACCAATATTACTATGAAAAAAATAACGATAAGGCTTTAAATCATTTTATTTCACCACTTTACTAAACAACTACCTACATAATATTGGACCATAATATTTGCGCTGTACAAATGTCAAATACTATAACTTAACGATACATGTTTATAATAAATCACTATAATTAAATGGATCTTTCTTGGAATTGTGATTTTAACTAAACTATAAAGTACTTTAGTCTGCATGGGTTCCGGGCATATTATTAACGTGGCGTGTCACGTTCAATAAATAACGTTTAGACGGCGTTCTAGGTATGCAATTTTGATGTATTTCGGTATATAACGAGTATTCGGCGTTTCTGTATTTCCATTATGATTTAAATTTAAAATAACTATGGCGAAAATAATAGTTTATGAAATGTTATCTTTTTATCTATATAGTTTTTCCTAAAACAATTGTTAAGCTTCAGAAATCAATTAAAAAAATTAAAAATATTTCATTAAAAAGTATATCCGTAAGTTAGAAATTAATTTATTCGATTTTTACCGTAGTCGATCAAAATATGTTGTTCATAAAAAGTTGCTACATTAGTTGGTTAATAGGTGGGCCTAGAAGGTGACAATGCACTCAGACGTGTAGGTCCATTGTGTGTCAGTTGCAACATTACTTACACACTAAAGCTTGATACATAGTTTTCCTGACCTAAAATGTTTATATTAAAACTGCTAATAATACATTTTACAAAATAAAATTGAAACATACGAATAGAAAATAAGAAAATAAGTAAAAAAATGTATTTATTTGTAACTATATTTTATGTTTTTAGTTGTATATTATAATAATATAATTAATATTCAATTTTACAATTTCGGTTTTTTTTTTCAAATATATTTATCTGCAGCTAATGATCCAATACAGCGTTGAAAATTAAATTATATTAATTAATAATTATATTATATAATAATTGCCTCCGATTGTGTTTGTTATTATTGTTTTTTTTTTTATTGTAATTTTATTTGTCTTTCTTGAACTCTCTCTCACTCAAAAATTATTTGCTTAACGAATGGAGAAAATCATTTATTAAATTATAACTCTTGTTATTTTTTTTACACCTACGTATAATTTGGTTTCAAATAATTTTGGCCTTGCAGTTGTATCTTAAAAAAATAGCAGTAATAATAGTACAATGGCATAAAAATATCAACAAACTCAAAAACAAATCGCACGACACTAACATGCAGTTAGGGAGTCCGTCATTGTAAGAACTTTTTTTGCGACAAGAAGAATATAATAGACATTTTTTGCTACATTGCCCGACTTAAGAGGTACTAAGGAATTTGACCCAATACAAAATACGCACTCAACTAGCTTATATGATCTGTAAAAACGATTGGTGGTGTACGAAGAAGTGCATTGCTTAGTAGATTATGCTGAAGATAACAGCCAACGAAATAAGCGGACAGTTTTAGTTATTATGATCAAAGAATAATTCTGAACCTAACTAAGTGTTAAGTTCAGAATTAAACATTAAACAATGGGCAACATACGATGATAACCATGAAGAGCTAGTGGACGGAAAGGAAAAATATATTTTCGAACTAGTAATATTATTTCTTCAACGACAATACCGAGAAGTTAACTGGGAAGTTTATGGCCTCCCGTCTCTAATTCTGGGTACGCCGGACCGCTTCAACTATACTTCGAGATTTTCTGTAATCTCATTAGTTTGTAACATTTATGTCTAAATGTTATACTGTGGCTCTTTTGTGTGTCTGTCGAACAGTTGGTCAAAATAATTGTGGTGTTTCTCAACCACACTTCCCTTTCCGTCCAAACTTTTAATCTCTAATATCATTAAAAGTACTGACTCATTACTGGTTATCGACCAGCCATCATGTTTAGTAAACTATTTTTAATTTTAAAAGTTTATAAAACATGTACGTTACCATTTAAGTTTTTAAAGATGATATAAAAAAGCCAGTACATTGGGGTCGGAGTATAGTGGGGATGGGGAGGTCCCGGTTGACAGGAATTATTACAACTGAAAGTGATAAAATCACTTTCATGAATCAGCACAGTAAGAAAGTATTAAAGTGAAGTGCAGTGTTTAAAAATTAGCATCCTGTATCAAAGCGTTTATTTGAAAGCGGTTTTTAACTTTTATTAATAATAATTCCTATAGATCTTCGACCTCTCCGTCCCCATCATGCTTTGATCCCATTATGCCTCGACCCCATTGTACTTTCTTACTCGAATAAAATCACATTATATATCACACATCTGCAGAATCGGACCATCCTAATTAGTCCACATTTTGTCTGGAGTTCGGTCTAAAATGTCAAAAAAACAGACCGCATGCAATCCCCAACTGTACAAACTATATTTTGATTGGATTTATATAAAATGTCCATCGAAAACATTACCTAGTCGTTTTGTCCACAGACAAAAATAGACCATAATAATAATCCATTATTTTGCAATAGTATTTTTATTTTTATAAAACAAGACCATTCTTCAATGCAACTTCTTCGACTTTTCAATACTAATACTTTACTACTTTACGAAGATAATACTTTACTTAAAACCTTATAAGGTGACCAAAATCCCATAACTTTTTTACTAGCATTATGTATAAATATATTTTTATTTTGAGCTTTGCAGTGTTTCGAGGGAAAAGAATGTGATTAATTTTGTTTTATTTATATGTTTATTTCTATTTCTGACAACGACAGCTCAAAGTTCCCACTTTAAATAGAGTTAAATAATAATAAATACGTGATATTATCGTTATCCGCCTGCTTAGGCTTATGTACACGCCAATGAATATTAGTTTTTTTCGAATTTCGTTGGTGTACCTTATTGGAAGACGTCAATAATGACTGCGTTATAATGTTTACATTCATATATAGAATCGATTCAACACTATATAAGAATAAAAGCACGAGTCGTGTCGATAATAAAAATATTATATATATATTATATAGATACAAATAGAATTTATAGTGTACTCAAACTGTATTATATTTTTGGATTTGTAACTAGAATAACGAAATATTACATATATATACCTCACAAAAACAATAGTTATTATCAGCGTCGGCGACAACGACAGAACACCGTAAACGTTTACTGGAAAAATCTGTTATTTCAACCTGCTAAAATAGTCAGAACAAAAATCTAAATATTATACCATTGTAAAGTAGAGATTCCAACGAATAAAACTGCACCTAAAAACGTAATAGTGACTTGATAACCGAGATAGAAATTGGCCCGTAAAGATACATTCATACACCTAACATTTATCGACTACCTACGCGGTATACAATATATATATATACATATATATATACCTAAAAAACTGATATGGTTCTATTTAATTAAAATCCTAAATATTATATACTAGTTTTATCTTAAATTAGACCCCCCCCCCCAAAAAAAAAAAATGACTGCTGGATACGGCAGATGATATGGGCATTGATATATTATTTTTGTATTAAACACCAGAAGGCATGCTATAAGAAGAATTAAACAATAATAACATATAACTAGTGATACATAAACTAATAATTAGTTTTTTTTTACATTTTTTTTCGAGTTATAGAATTTTTGCTTAGCAGGGCAGAATAGATGGCAACAACCAAAAAAAATTTTAAAAATATTTAAATTAGGCGCTTAATATTGTGACTACACAGCAGTAATTAAAAATTATCAAATAATCAAATATGTGCCAAATATTATGGTTTAAGTACATTTAAATATAACAAATATTAATATGATATTACATAACTAATGTCTTAAAATTGTAAATGTTGAATTGTTAGCCAATGGTGGCCTTAATAGATTTACTGGCAACATTTATCAATATTTAACATTTCGGTCTATCCTTCGAATGAACCTTATGCTTGACGACGTCGATTCGATATTATTTCGATGGCATCTTATATGTTATTATATTTTAAAGTAGGCGTGTTACTTTAGTATCGCTATTAAGTGTCGTTTTCGGACTGGGGGGGGGGGCAAGGCTAAAGCATGTTCCGTGCTAAAATAAGAATAAAATCATAATACACAATACCAACTAGAGTTGAGTATCTAGTGGTGCTATAATATTTTTCTAATAAAAGCTTTTTAATATAAAACAAAAATCTGAACTGATAAATATTAATATTGTTAATGACAAGCAGTCTGCAGTTTAAACATTCAATCATATACTACCTAGTTTATATATTTAATGAATTATACAGTTTTATTGAATATAAAACTATTACGATTTATTACAACAACTTAAAATTATATTATATTACATTAATATTCTAGCGTGTAACGCTGTCAAAATATAATATACGTTTTTTCTTAGATACAAATGTATTATCATTTTGCTCTTCGGGTACGACATTCTTCTGTATTGTGGACGTACTTTTTTTGGAATGCACATATGAGCAACGTGTATTGTATATTAATGTTTTAATACCTAAACATTGGCCAGTTGGCATTACTATAGGCTATACTATTATACTTTAGGAGAAATAATATACTTAATTAAAAAATATGAACTGATGTAACGTTCCGTAATTTAATAACAATATTTTTATAATTTCTATTAATTATTATAAAGTATAAAATACTATTATAAGACGGCTATAGTACCTGAAGTGAGATCTTCTAAATACAACAAGGTTTATACATTTTGTCAATAAGAAAGATTTTAAAAAACGAATTAAGTGTTTCAAAATAGAAAATATACGTTTTTAAAATAATGTTAAATTGGTTAAAGTAAAGGGTATTTGTTTAAAAATAAAATAATCATTGAGCGCAATGAACAAACATTAATTTAAAGAATTAAAACGATACCTACAGACCACCGAGTGTACAGAGTACAGACTATAGTCCACAAAATGAATTCCTTGATTTAAATAACCAAACAAATAACAATACACTTAAGAAATATAACGTCGATAAATCGAATACGTATTATATGGAATTTATTCATGTATGCATATGACATATTGTGTATCAGCTAAAATTACAAAAACTAAAGTTTAAATAACAACAATGTCGCTAAATAAATCTAATTATAGGAATGAGTATCTAAAATGGAAATAAATATTTAACAAAAAAATTAAAGACAAATAAAATGGTAACATAGCGGTGAATATTATAGGCGAATTATCAATTTTTTTAGCCAATGTTTTGCGCATTGGCGTACCTAGGAGGAGGCAAAGGGCGCTCCACCCCCCCCCCCCCATTGGCTGTGTTATAGTATAAATAAATTATAAACTATTAAGCCGGGTTTTCAATAAAACGGTCCCGTGTACCGTGTATCAGTTTTCTACGTAAGAGATATAAATTGACTATTATTTTACAAAAAAGTGTCCCTTACACTATAACAATGCTAATCCGTTATATTTTTTTAACACTTAAAGTATAGATAACAAACAGATAGGAATATCATATAACAACGGTTTTGACGAAAGTATACAATCATAACAATATTATATTACATTACAATTTCTATATATCAGACTTTTTAATGACAACTTATTTGCTACGGTAGCCCCCCTTCCCCATTGAAAAAACCTTGGTACGCCACTGGTTTTGCGTGTTCTTCTAAGTTAGGGAGTTGCTTGATGCTTCCCTCAAATTTTGTCCTGGTGGAACAGGACGCAACGGGCTAGATGGTTTGCTCCCACCCACACTCACAGAGTGGCGCCTGAGCCATGCCCCATTTAAATAGAGTGCTGCCACACCTGCCTCGTTCTGTCCTTATTCATTTAAGGTTACCCATTATGCTCGTGTGAAGTCAAATCTAGGAAACTTGGTTCTAAGAAAATCTAGGTTTTCTACTAGTAACTAGGAAGAAATTCTAGACGCGCGAGGCGTTCCAGCGGCTTTACCATGTAACCGATACTGATTCATCCATGAGTATTATGTCATGGGACGCCTCAATTTTACTCTCATTGATAGATGCTTGGTTATGTCTTTAAACATAGGTAGGCTTGGGTTGGGTTTTATTTTGTCCAGTATCCGTAAAGCAGACTCACGCCTCCGTACTTCTGGGGATGCTATATTGGCCAGGACTGGTAACCATTCCACCCGGGTGGTTCTCCTTGTCTCTGTTCCGCTTAGATCGTCTGATTAAATTAGGTATCGACTTTCGTGCAGTGGGCACTTTTGGACCAAACAAGTGCGCAGTGTTCAGCTACACTGTGCATGTTTGATATGGATTTAATGAATGCAGTCAATGAATACAAATAACATCCTATTGACTATATCAACATTCAACACAGGCGAAACCTTTGGACCCAAAAGATAATGTTCAAATCTATAGTAACATTTTAATAGTGTCATGTGGCCAGATTAGAGATGTACTTAAGATAAATCAATTTTTCGGTTTTTCCCCAAAAAAAAAAAACATGACCATTGAAATTAAACGTTTTATTGTTCAGGCGAGTATAATTATAATAATAGCTGAATAAAAAAGAACATGAGCTTTTAAAAACACCTATGGCCTGAACTGGAATCAGTTGAATAGTGCATTTAGATAACACAATTTATCGATGGTACCAAAGGGTAAAATTGATGCACCTAAATAAATTTGTTTTGTCCAAAGCATAATGGCTACTATAAGTTATTATCATTAAATTTTACTAATTTATGATAGTTTGAAATTTGTACATTAAAAGTGAATCATTTAAATATGATTACACCACTTAGTATTTTACATTACATTCCATTCTTATCTCGTATACGAAACGTATAGGAGAGAACTACAATAGTTGTACAATAATTAGCTTACAATTATTTGTTTTGAAAATATGTTTTTATGTATTACATATTGTGTTCGAGTCAATGACGATCGTTAGTCATTATTAGTTATAAATTATGACTAATAGACATAAGTAATGGTTTTTTTTTAGTAGGTACCTAATTCTGGTATTGCTTGAGCATTTCGTAAAATAATTTAAATCTCAGGTACGACTTGTGTGAAGGAAAGCTGCTGCAATTTAGAAAGAAATGCATAATTTTTAAAACTTGGTACATATTATAAAAGTTTCAAGTGAGTGTTGTAAATTTAATGGTGAAAATCAACGGAAAACGGTAACCTTCATTGGTACAGCGGCAGCAAAAAACTACTTACACGTTAACACTTCAATTAACACGACAAGATGATAAACAGTTCATAATAATATATTATTATATTTTGCGCTTATAAGCTAATTTATATTTAACACATAAAATCTCCATTGTCCGCATTGCACTAATTAAAAAAAATAGTCATGATAGTAACAATGAATTACAGTTTTAAAAATAACACGTTTTATAGATATGTCATGCATGCCCAAAAGATTATTAAACATATAAACGTGTAAACATTGGTACAACAGTAAGTTAAAAAAGTAGTTCTAAATAAATATAAAATATATATATTGATTTACGCAAACAAGTATATTAATAGTCTAATTAAAATAATATGAAGGATACAATTACTTGTCTATACTAATACTATATCATGTAAATCAGTTTTTTATAATTTATCTATATAGGAGAAGTGTATTACTACTGTTATTGGATAATCAATTGAGGAATTAAGGTAATAAAATGAAAAATAATAACATAGAAAATAGATTCTATACAAATACAATTTATACACAAATGATAAAAGTAAATTCCAATAAAATGATAACCCCTTCTTTGGAGCCGCTTCCTAAATAGCAATTACTAAATTACTAAATTAATATGTACCTAACATACCCTTGTCAAGAACCAACGTAAAATAAATAAAATATTCGTTTTATAAATTTAGTTTCATACTTACATATACCTACGTAATTTTGTCGATACAAATAAGGATCTATGACAAGTCAATTCGATTTACCACCACTTTTAATATTAGTTATTAATTACTTATACTAATTTTAATAGCCATGTTATTCTGTTCTGTATATTATATTACAACTTTATTTTTAACAAAAAAAAAAAAACAAATCAAGCGGGCTGCCTAGAAATTGTTGATTCCTAGGAAAGATGGTATGCGTATGACACAGCATACTTTTCAATACAAGGGTATTACTTTTATTTTATATTTTACATATGTACGAAAAATGTTTTGGCAATAATAAAAGTATTAATAATAAAGATGTCGACGATGAATGTAATATACACAAATAATTAATTTGTAAGCTTAATAAGCCGTATGCCCGTAAGCCTTTAACAATAGCTCGTCCTAAAAATAAAAACCATGTTCTGTAATTCTGTTACTTAAGATTTAACATTTTTGATAATTTATATTTCATTCTACATATTGAGTAAACATCGCATATTACGCTTAGCAGCCCTTTAGAATATTGTACTCTGGTAGTAAATAGTTGACCAAAAGTAATAAATAATAATAATGTAATATACCAAAAACAGTGGCGTATTTACGGGGGGGGGGTATGGGGGTTATATCCCTCCCGGGGCCCAAAAGGGACTGGCTGTTAAAATCTGTATACCCCCCCCCCCCCGTGGAAAAATCCTAGATACGCTACTCACCAAAAATATGATGTTACATTTTTATTTATTGATTCGAGGATAATATAATATGCTTAACAATTTACCATCTATTCTTGATCATACATTTACGGTCGTCGTCAACACGACACTATAGTATTGTACAGGTATTAAGTTGGATGTGGGTACATAAATCTGTCATTATTATCATCGTGGACCGTAGTGCACTACGATAAACGGTTGTAGCACGCCTGTATCACATCAGAGAGCTGTTGTCGATTACTATTGTTAGTATTGTAAATTTCTAGGACTTATTATTTAACTAGGTGATTCGTATTATGGAAGAATTAAGATGATAAAAAAACCGTAAAAAGTATAGTGTAAACTGTAAACGGAAACGACGATTTTTCCATTTGCCCCGCCCACCGGTTTGAGGTCACGTTGTGTTTACCGCCACGCACTGCGCTCCGGTGCCAGTAGCGCTAGCGTCCGAGAAAGACAGAAACCAACGCAAAACAAAGATAACAGCATTGTTATTATTATTATTATTATTATATTACTATATTGTTATCTAGTATTATAATACTTGTCTATGATATAACCGTTGAATTGTGTGTGTTTGTTGTGTGTATGTGCTTGTGTTGTGGTATGAGCGGCGGTGGTGGCACAGCGGTATTTTTCATACGTGCTTTTTTAATAAAACAAAATTAATTATACTTCTACAATATTTGCTGACGGTGCTGCCGGTCGGTTGTTCTCAGTGGTCACGATTGTGATATTTTACCTATTTAGTATTTTTATTCATAATAATAGATATTACAGTAGAATAATTTACCTATTAAACGTGTCGCCTAACGCGATTTCTAAAGTATACAAATGCATAGGTAATCTTTTCTAGTTCTGCTTGTTTAAATTAAAATAAATATTCCTTTTCGATTAAATCGTTGTTACTGTTTTTTAATATAAATTTACATAATATAATATTGTACTGGTAACGTAAACGCTCATATACATACTGAAAACTAGGATGAAAATACCATCTTAGCCAGACTGTCTGCCGTTACTACACATCAGCTAGAATACTTCTTACGACTAAAACCTAATCTTCAAACTCCGCCTTCATCAACGATTTGTTTGCATTACAAAATATTAAGTGAGTACCTACCTATTTGTACAACTCTGACCGTACATTTTATGTGCATATCTTTTTAATACCTGTTATACCTATATTTTGTATTCTATAATAATTATAATAATAACATTGTCATTTGATAGATAGCTGATAATTGTATTGTAAAAAACTATTTATTTTACAAAAATAAGGTATATAATGTTGTAAGAAACAAATAAATATTTCATGAATCGGATAATTTTAATTTCACAATAACAAATTTCTGTTGACGTTCAACAATCGCACACTAAATTTAAAATTAGTGTTTCTGTTTGTCTTGATAAATTATTAATAATTGCTTTTCCACGTGCTTAGCACATTAGTAGTATGTAAAAATGACGTAAGGTTCATGTTATATAATAATGCAGTAATGGCAAGTAGCCAAATATATCCAACAACACATTGCCAAAAAGCAAAATGACCTATTCTTACCACAAATTTTTGTCAGAATTGAGATAAAGATAACTTGCCCTATTTTAATTTAGTTACAATAGTTGTAAGAATTTGTTGGGATTCCTAATTGAATTAGTGAGTTGAAAGTATTGATTTTGCTTTTTTTCTTTATGTTATTGAAGGTAATACTTATCAGCCTTGGTATAAATATATATATTTATATATTTTGATAAATACTAATTACAAAACAAAATGTTAGTTGTGAAGAATATGGGAGAAAATCTATAAACATAGTTTATCAGATATGTTAAATAACAAAAGCAGATTTTAATTTTATCGTTATTGTATCCTTAATGTGATTAATTAAAAATAAAATAAATTTTTAACAAATATATAATAAAGACAAAAATAATGTTTTGATATAGTTTATTAAGGCTGGTACAAATTCTCTAGTGTGCAGTCAAAACCAATTTTTACAAAACAAGGGGTTAACTATTTTATAGATCAGGCTTTTTTTTTCTGAATTCAAAAGAGATAAAATTATATTTTTGCTTAAATTGAACTTGACTGGTACTGTCCATGACCACCCACTGACAAATTAATATATTGCATACATAGACAAAACTTTATATTAAAAATTAACATATTATGTTAATATTATAATAAAGTATTATATTAAAATTATATAAATTATACATATTCAAAGAGTATTTTTTCAAGAATATCGAAAAACGTTTTGACATGTTTTGTTATGTGATAGGAACAAAAAATTCCTTAATTACCATCCATAAGAGAATACTGAAGTTATTCATAAATCTGTTTTTTTTTTTTGGTTTATGCAGCTTCGTTTGTAGAATCCAAAAAAACATTTAACTAAAGAAAACTGTTTTGTAAGTTTTGATTTAAGTGTGCAATGTATAGATATTTATTCATACTCCAATATTTTATCTAGAGTTGGTTATATTACTTATAAATCAATGTGATGTTTATTTTATTTTTCACCACTTAGCACGACTATTTAGTATCAATTATTCAATTAATCTTCAATCATCACTCATAATATTTTCTCACCATCTAACCTCCCACACACATCTCTATTATTTTGACTACATACTCCTGGCCTTAATCTAATTGTATTTCCCTTTTGAATTTAACGCCACAATCTGGTATTTAATTAAATTTGTATAATTTTCATTATATTTATTATATAACCCTGAATAGGTAGGTAGATATAATTTAACACTTAAATAAACATAATATTAAATAAGCATTACATATGGGAATATTATGGACACATGCATTTTAATTGACCTTGCTTTAGATTACCTATTCAAACATTATAATTTATAAATTAGTTGGTTTGTCAAGGTTCATTTTATTAGACCATAGGTTATAGTAATTCCCGGCTAGGTGCATAGTAGTTCACTATGCTATAATATTATAAAAATAAATGTATAAAATAATTTCTGTATTTCTAGTAAGGTTAAATTTAAGAAAAACATAATATACTATCCCTCATACAAAATAATTATATTTTATACTTGAGTATAAACTGTATTTTGTAGAATTATTTTTCATATTAATGATTGCTTTTCTTAATAATCTATCATAATTTATACATTTTAATTTACATATTTACACACCTATGTGTTAAATTTATTTACTGTTTGTAACCAATTTTATCACAACTTACAATTTTTTAATGACTATTTACTTAATAGTTAATACTAATTTCATTTTTATTTCATTTATTGACTTATTTATTATCTTCTCAGTATTTTCTAAAGTAATGTCATATTTCTACTTCCTAAATCAATTTGTTTACCTGTGTATTTTTTACTGAACCATTACACCAATGAGGTGTTACCGAAAAAAAAAATAATGAAACAAAATAATTAAGTATTTATTTTTTTCAGTATGGAAAATGCAGCAATATTATCAGCTTTTAAAACGTTATCATTTATTTATGATGTCATAACATATCCAGTATATTTAGTAGTACAACAACCATGGAGAAAAAAGAACAAATCAGATGCAATAAAAGTAAGTTATTCATATAGTTTTATTGTAAGACATATTCATTTATTTATCATGCTAATGCATTATTAAGTACATTGTGATATGTCATAAAATCTAATGCTAGCTCTACACTCTTGCCTTGCGCAAGACGTTATACGAGACTGAAACGAGGCACCAAGATTACTAAATTATATTTTACAATACTTATTTAATAGTACTTAAATAGTTATTTGTGTTTTTATTTTCATTTGAAATAATTCGTAATGAATATCATTTCAGTCAAAAGTTACAAAAATAGATGATAGCTCAATTCTTATTCAAACTGTTAGTGACCCCTCTCCTGGTCACCTGAAGATAGTTAAGGAACAAATAGACACATTATATAAAGTATTCCAAAACGCTGTTGCTCATTATCCTGATTCCAAGTGTTTGGGAACCAGACAAATTTTAGCTGAAGAAGATGAAGTTCAAAAAAATGGAAGAATATTTAAAAAAGTTAGTATTTGTCATACCATCTCTATCTTTGTTAAGTATTATATTAAATATATTTGAAAATCTTTAAAAATTGTAGTTATATGTCATTTATGAATATTGATTTAGAAACATTTGAATTTATACAAATTTTATGTTGAAAATATTTAAAATCTAGTATGTCATGGGAGACTACCAATGGATGACATTCAAAGAAGTAGACATAGCGTCGGATTATTTTGGAAATGCTTTGATTTCACTTGGACAACAACATAAATGCAATATAGCAATATTTGCTGAAACCAGAGCAGAATGGATGATAGCCGTTCAAGGATGTTTTAAACAAAATTTTCCCGGTAAAATTTAAATATTAAATGGAACAATTTAATGAAATAAATTTCAAAATCATGTTTTTTCAATATTTTTGTTTACAGTTGTAACTTTGTATGCCACTCTTGGCGATGATGCTGTTGCCCATGGTATAAATGAAACAGAAGTGACTGTTGTAGTTACGTCACATAATTTGTTACCAAAATTCAAAAACATCTTACAGCTCACTCCCCGAGTAAAAACATTAATCTACATGGAAGATCAGTTGGCTTCAACTGATACTAGTGGCTACAGTGATTCCGTAGAAATAATTTCATTTAAATCTATATTACAAAGAGGAGCTGAATTCACAGTTACTGGTTGGTAAAAAAAATCTATTGATATTCCAGGTGACAAATTAATTTTATTTCTCTAATGATCTTACTTGTTTTTGTTTTTTTTGTCACCAAAAAATTAATTTTGTCCAATTATTATTTTACAAAAAAAAAAATATTAAATTTACCTTAACTGTTGATTATTAAATAATATTATTAAAGCCAAACAAAATGACTGATCGATAACTACAGTTTCACACCAAAAGTCGTCATGCTAATGGCCTAAGCTTTAAAGGGAAAATGTAATGATATATAAACCTATTTTGAGTAATTATTTTTTTTTTAGAAAATCATTTACCAGTAACAAGTGATATTGCAATTATAATGTACACTAGTGGATCAACAGGAGCCCCAAAGGGTGTAAATCTTTCACATACAAATCTTATTGCCACACTTAAAGCGTTCAATGATGCTATTGACATAAATTATCAGAATGACATTTTCATGGGCTACTTACCACTTGCACATGTTTTCGAATTACTCGGAGGTAAATATAAAATACAACTAATATTAATAACTACTTTATTGAATAAAAATTGTTTTTAATGACGTTTGGTCACTTTTTTTTGTTTTTAGAACTTTCTTGTTTATTCTTTGGTGTTCGAATCGGTTACTCGACTCCTCTCACAATGATTGATACTTCAAGCAAAATAAAACGTGGCACAAAAGGTGATGCTCGTATATTGAAGCCAACAATTATGACAGCTGTACCCGTATGTATATTTAATAATATTCCCTACAATGTGGATGAATTGTTGTGCTATTAGTAATTTATTTAATTATTTTTAGCTTATTTTAGATCGTGTCTACAAAGGCATAAATGAAAAGATATCTGGCGGTTCAACATTCCAAAAAACTCTTTTCAAATTTGCTTTTGAATATAAGATGAAATGGATGGAACGTGGTTTTCAAACTCCACTGATGAATATGTATGAAAACTACATTTTTCTAAAACTAATATATCAATAAATAGGGTTATTTGACTTTTACAGGTTAGTATTTAAGAAAACCAGTGCTTTAATGGGTGGCCGATTGCGATATATTTTGTGTGGTGGTGCTCCTCTTTCACCTGAAACCCACACTCTCATCAAAGTATGCCTTTGTGAAACGGTTCAACAAGGTTATGGATTAACAGAAACTAGCTCGTGTGGATGTGCAATGAGCCGTAAGTGGTTATAAAATTTAATTTCAATTTTAAAAAAGTCTTTCAAATTTTAGTAATTTTATCAAATTAATTTTGTAGGAGAAGATATGTCTACGGGTCGTGCAGGTGCCCCATTAACGGTCAATGATTTTATTTTAACTAGTTGGGACGAAGGTGGTTACACGGTCACTGATAAACCTTATCCCAGAGGCGAAATGATAATTGGTAAATGTCATATCATATTATATACTATAATAATATGTGAATAACTTTGTATTTTAGCTTTGATGCGGAACGGAAAAGTTAATAGTTTTACAATGACTATATTACTTTTGTTTTTGGTCATACTAAAAGGACATAAGGAGTTAAAGATACTTTATATGGCCAAAAATAATAAATAATTTACCCTTTCTCTTTAAAAAACTACACAAATTTCCTTTTTTTACAGTAGTTTTTTAACTTAACTGGAAATTATATAAAGATAGATCTATAACATTACATTTTTTCAAAAATCTGTAATCAATTTTTTTTGTTTAGTCGATAAAAACTTTATGCAAAAAAGAATTTCAGAAAAAATTTTGTTTTTAGTTTTCATTATAGTTTTTTAAGTTAGTTAATTTGAAAAATGTATTTAACTTTATTATTGATCAGTCAAAATCTTAAGACTTAATTCTCATTTTAGACAACATTTTTTATTATAAAAAGTTAATAAAATTTAAATGTTTCCATATTTTTAATAATCTGTAGTCTGGTTTTTTATCGAAGAAACTTAAAATATCAAATAACACGGTTTAAACATATTTTTTGTTTTTTTGCAATTATTTATATCTATACAGTTTGGTATTAAAGTATTTTTTTTAATGTGATTTTTCATTATACTTTGTTTTAGGAGGTGAAAATGTATCACCTGGATACTACAAAAATCCTCAAAAAACGAAAGAAGAGTTTTTCGAAAAAGATGGTAAATGGTGGTTCAAAACTGGTGATATTGGAGAACTAGAATTTGATGGAGCCATAAAAATTATAGGTATATTTTTCAAAAATTATATTTGCACCAAGAATCGAATATTAATTAATCTTAATTGTTTGGTTTTAGATCGTAAAAAAGATTTAGTCAAACTACAAGGTGGTGAATACGTGTCTTTGGGTAAAGTTGAATCTCAGCTCAAAACTTGTCCAATTGTAGATAATATATGCATTTATGGAAATCATTTTAAGACTTACACAATTGCGATAGTTGTGCCCAATAGCTCACATTTATTAGATGTGGCTACAAAACTAGGTATTGAAGATGCTAAAAATATCAATCCTGAAGAACTGTATGCAAACCCAAGGCTAGTAAAAGCTCTATTAGACGAACTGACAGCTTATGGGAAAAAAAGTAATTTGTTAAGAAAAAACTTATTATAAAATAATGTGCTATTCATAATCTGTAATTTGCATTAATTTAGATAAACTGGAAAGGTTTGAAATACCTACAGCTATAAAAATATGCACTGAGATATGGACCCCAGATAATGGTCTGGTAACGGCAGCTTTCAAATTGAAACGAAGAGAGATATATGTAAAGTACCAAGCTGACATTGATAGTTTGTACCAATAATAATATATTTACTTGGCGTTACAAGAACCCAAGTAAACATTTTTTTTCTACTTCTATTAGTGTATTATTTATTATATAAATGCAACTTTTTTTTTGTGTTTAGTAATGGCTCATTAGATAGGTAAATATTAATAAAATATTGTTACTAAATTCTTTAAGGTGTAATTTAATTTATTAAAAACTGTGTTGAACTACAATTGTATTTGTGTTTAAAAGTTAACTCTCAACTGTTATTATTTTTTATTAATCTTGCCGTTACCACTCTTTTATGGTTTACAAATCATTTGAGTTGTTGTTTGCATTAACATTACATTGTTGTTCTTTTTGTTTGATTTGTTCAAAATGTTTTTGATTGCGTATTATGCAATTTTTTCTGCGTTCTGAAATACAAGAGTCATCTATTCGATTGTTTTTGTCGTGTGTACAATATATTTTAATATTACTACTTACTGGGATTTCTTATCGCCGCACAGTATCGCTCGACTGCAGTCATCGGACCGTCAGCTATGAGTTCACATACGTATGGCAATTTTTTTGAACAATTTTCTGTCTCCCAATACCTGTTGCTCGTAATGACCACACAGTCTTTTTCTATTTTCCTCGCCTTGGGATGTCCCGGTGCCCACGCTCTGTACGGCAAGCAAGCCAGTAGCTCTCCTGGATACACAGTTCCAAGTGTGTATGAATAGTTTTTCAAAATTTAATGGCTTTATTGCTCACCCATAATAGTAACAAAGTCTTCATCGAAAAACAGACCTACATATGCTCTACGATTCCTGATGGTAAAGTTAGTAAGAGTAGACGATACTAAAGCGGACAACATGGAAGTACGTGTTTCCGATACAATATTAGCCAAGTGACCCCCAACCTCTTCGCACGCTTCCATCGCGTTAGAAAAATTCATACGGTCTGACACTACGTCAAAAATCCCAATGCCAGGAACACAAGTGTAGTTCTCGTTGGCTGTTGTTGAAATCCAAATGCAATAGTGTGAAACGGAGTAAAAATTTAAAGATTAAATAAAATTTGCTGCACAAATTTTGTACAAGGAAAGTCAACATTAAATCTAGACTATGTAATGTTAGTAAAAATTAGAACTATTATAAAATAGGTGCACGAAAAAAATGTTTAATCATACTTGGTCATTGTCATTTATATATTATGTATGGGTATACACTTTCAATAATAATTTTAAGATTCTTAAGTAAGTAAAAAAATGGTCAAAACTCAACATTTCTTTTGAAACTGTTAGAGAAGTACTAAATTAAATATTATATCCAAAAATGCCCATTTTTATTTGTTTGGACCACTGTGCGCGTGTGCTAGTAAATCTCAATGTTAAAACGTATAACTTACGCAGTGGCTTCGAGTACATGCTGTAGTAATTGTATAGTGATGGATTTTGCTTGGAATTCAGAAATCCGTGGTACTCCGGACATTCGTAGACCATACACTTTGACCCGGTCGTGACGTTTTCTTCTAAAACGATAACATTCATTATTACTATCAAGTAGGTAGTCTATTTATGGTTTTGCGGTAATTTTTTATTTAAGATGATTGCGAGTCGGATAAATTTATTTTCACAACTCGTATAATATTTTATGTACACTAAAATAGTCGTGATGGCGAGTGTGAATTAAATTTATTATGTAGTTTTATAACACCGTTGTATTACCGAAATGTAACAAGAATTATTCAAAGTTGTCACCATTTACTAGTTCGTAGGTATAAGTATATTGTACTAACACATACCTACACCATCCAGTGAGCCGAGCGCAGGTACCCAGCTACGGATTTAACCATTGTGCCACTGTAAGCACTGAACAAATTACCGCCTTTTAAAATATAATTATTTTTCTAGTCAAAAAAATGTCTAGCGAGTAATTCTCGTGTAGTGTCAACTTCATTTATAATAATATTTGGTTTAAAAAAAGAACATATTTTTACCAAATTATTTAGTTTACTTTAGCATTGATTATAAACACTATGTATGTTAATATATGTAAATTGTAATTATATGACAGTATTTATTAAATAATACCTATACGCTGTTGTAATATTTATAATCATTATAGTTAATTAAAAAAATTATGAAATTAATAATAAAAAAAAAAAATTGAATTGTAGATAATTCTTACATAATAATTTTAATTAAAAAAAAAAAAACTTGTAAATCCAGGTTGCCCGGCCCACTTTTTAGTTAGGTACGTAAAGCATCTGGGGCAAGTGCTAAACTCGCCTTCGGTATAGTTAGCGAATGCAAAAGCAAACGCATTCCTCGTCCGGGCCAGTCTAGTGCAATCTTCCACTTCAGTCTCGTTGGACATGACCACAGTTCGCATTGTGGACGTCGCGCAAGGTTTAGTTAGGTGATATTCGGGTGTATGCTGTCGGGATGCGGGCAAACACCTGGATAAATCAAGATCAGCTGAATTCGTCGAGGTCAGCAGCATAACGACTGTGGTTGTCATCGAAGAAAACATGGCGCCGTTCCGCGACATTTTTAATTCAGTTTCTTAGGTATACCGTCACCGTTAACGAACTAAATCAATATTGAAACTTGGGCACCGCACGTGTTACACAGATGGATGGCAATCGCGTGCATATAAGCAAGAATAAATAATAAATATCCACTGACGGCGTCAATCAAAAACGTCATCTTCGATTAATTGGCAATCGCCCAACCAATTATTCCAGTGCAATCAATTTTGATTTGGTAGAGTACAGCAAATATGATTTAAGTCTTTATATACTATATACGACTTACCGAAAAACACCTAATGGCTATTTTCCGTTAAATTTTCATACTTGGGTAGCGATTTAATAGGTGTGATTTATTGGGTGTATGTGTTCAGCAGACTATAAGTTATAAATACAATAACACATCAGAGTTTCAGCAAAAGAGCAAAATTTGTGCAAAAGAGTCGAAAACCTATGTTAAATCACATTTGAAGGGTACCGGGAAAAACCAGCAGTCACTTTTTTCTAATCTAAAAAAAGTTTGTTTAAATAATGTTTAAAAAATACTTGAAACTTTTAGAAAAATGTTAAATTCTTGTTTATAATCGTGGTTAAAAATAAAGTACAGAATCGGTTTGTATAAAAACTAATTTTATAACAACAAAATTGCCATATTTTTAAAAAGTAACTGCTGGGTTTCCCCCCCCTGTACCGGGTACTCTTCATTTAAACTTCACCCTTGGTGGGGCGCGGGTTAAAATTAAAATTTATCGATTTATTTTGAACCTCATTTTTACTGTATTTAGAAACTTGTAGAGAGCGTCCGGGTTAAAATTCGAAAATTGACATTGCAATCCGTGCATTTTGTTAGAAGGACGACGGATTACAAAATGTAAACCTTGCAGTCATGAATTTAACAATAAATAAAAATAATATCCACAAATAAAAATGCAGACGTCTCATGTCTAATCACACTTCCACGTGGTAGTTCACTAGGTACCTAGTACCTAACCTACTAATATTATTGTACAATTTGAGAAAAAAAACAATTTCTTTTGTTTCAATAAAATTAAAGACAATATAATTTGTTACAATATAATTAATAATACCATTTATATCCAGAAGTCAAAACATCAGAACTTTGATTGGATACTTAATTATAGCCTTACATGTTGTGAGAGAAATATTTAATAACTTTTTACATATAAAATATAAAACAACGGAGAATACGATATCTCCGATATCCAATACATGCCACTAATTTTTATGATTCTATGTAAGAACATTTAGAAAAATACAAATTGTAGTTATAATCAAGCGTTCGGAGCGCGTTCTGGACAAAGTTTACAACTTATGCTTAAACAAAAAAAAACTATTTAAATCGTTCAAAATTGTAATGTTTGTCTAAAATCTAAATGATTTAAATTTTTTATACTATTTATACTACAACATAAAATTTGAATGTTTTAAATAACAAGTTTTTGTATAAAGGAAAACCTGTACATTTTAGCAAAACGCGTTCGTTGATGCTGGTCATACTTTAACTATTATAAATTAGCTCAAATACTACCCATCCTAACTTACTGAAGTTCTATAATTCTATGTCACAAGGCACAGAAAAACAATTCCTTAAGGAATATGTTTTTCAAAGAGCTTATCTATTAATATTATAGCAAATAGTAAATACTTTCAATAAAAATATATTTTATTACAAATAGCTATAGAAAAATACTATATTTCTATGTTTTGGTGTACATATTTTTTTAACTAAAATTAATCACTAGTTTATAATAATTATAGGTACAAAAAGCGTTATATTAACATTATTAAATGCGCTACACAAATAATATAAGCAACAGTCTCAATATATTTTATTAATTCTAGAATAATAATATCAGTAAATTGGAATATTGAAAAAATAATTTGAATGAAATAAATCTAAATGTATAGGATATTCTCGATATTTTTTATTGTCTACATTGTAACACTCGAGAACATTATTTGTGAATACCATTGCTTTATTTCCGTTGAAAGAACACATTGTAGAGTCTTGATCGTATACCGCTTTGAAATTTACAACGTCCTCGCATGACTCGTCCACAGGACAATAACAGTATAAAGTGATGTTTAACTGATCATTGTAAGCTAAAAAAAGAGGAAAACAACTTAGTATGGATATTTGTAGACAATGATTCAGACGTACCTAGTAAATAAATACTATCAAAATAATTGGTCGCACAAATAATAATAGCATTTAAATGTAACGGACGACTCCCCCAGTCACAGAGCGATGGATCAATTTTGTTATGACACAAGTAAAACCATACAGGGTTACGTTCTTTGGTAATCATTACTAACTGACCTTTGAACTCTAAACATGTGTAAATTTTGCGATCGACTTTTTTCGTAAAATTACACAAGTAGCTTCGCACACGCTTCAGTTCACGTTGGTCTACAATATTTACAATGTATACAATAACAGTTTTGGTTAGCAGATTAAGCTTATTGTGCATATAAATTTTTACCTTCGCTCAAAATGAACCTTTCCATTAATTCGTTTGGCAACCGATGTTTAGTAAGGCCACCAAAAAGATACAATTCGTTACCACAAAAATATCCAACCCCGTGACGCCTTTTGGTAGTTGTGAAACTGTAAAATTAATACATGACCTCTATAAATACATTTTCATAGAGCAGATATTTTTCCACAGATTAGTACTTCTCTAATTGGCTCCATTGTTTATTTATCATGTTGTACTTCCAACCCGCTTCATTCCATTGTCCTTTACCATAACCGATTTCTCCAGCTAGTACAAAAATATCCATGCCTGTCAAACAAAAACAATCGGAATTAACATTTGTTAAACTAAATTAAATACTGAAATTTACCTTTAACAACAACATGATATCCAGTCGTGTCAAGAGGTAGTGGATCTAATTGGAGGAATTTTATAAATTTCATTTGATTCCAATCCCAATAGTAAATATAAGCATGACCACTGTCTTCGTTCTTTATTCCACAAAGAGCAATAGGAACGCGTCTTATAGATTTTATTGTATCATTATTATCACCATTGATTTTGTTATGCAAGTATTGTTCTATATTGTTTTGCAATTTGAAATTATTTGTTTTTGATAAACAATACTGTAACTGAGACACATCCATAGTATTAAAGTGTACACAAGCTATAGCTATTTCATTTTCAATATCTTCTCTGCCAGTTTTTGAACACCATTCAATTACTAAATCGAATACATGAATTTCTTTTTCAACATTTAAACTGTTGTCACATAGCAGTTGATATAAATCTTCTACCGTCAATTTGAAAAATTCATCTCTGTTATGAATAGTGAGCACATTGAAATTGTACAAAATATAAATACGTGATTTTTCATATAGTTCATGTAGATCCAGTTTAAAAGCTACAGAAAATATTTGAATCGCACAAGCTGAAAAAAGAAATTGCTTCTCGACTATTTGGATACACTGTTTGGTTATCTCGGTAAATTGGAGAATTTGTGTAGTTTCTAATAGAAGTAGTATTTCAGATATGGATTCCAAAGTAATACATTTAACTTTTAAATAGTCAAGAATCCACACAAAGCCTTTATGATTAATATCCTGAAATAGTTAAATATTACTATTGTTTATACTATATCAAGATAAATGATAAAACTACTACTGGCAAAATAAATTCTCTTACCTTTAGTTGGATTTCTCCACTGATGCGGGACTCTAAGAATTGACCTCTAAACATGGCTTCAAAATACAAACTATGTTTAACCAGTAATGATTTCTCTGATATGACTTTGTCACCACTATCAAAGCAGAGTGTTATTGACTCTTTATTGTCAACATCCATCATAACGTCTTCAAAACAATCAATGCTAGCTAAAAAAAACATTTATATACAAAATATTTTATCTCTAATTATACAATTATTTTTTAAATACTAGACTAGAGCATAATTAGAGAGAACAAAACACATACGTAAATGTATTTAAGTTGTTGTACTTAATTTTATAAATAAGTATTGATTACATGTCAAAGAAAGTCATCATTCTGGTGATCTTGAATGGTTTAGCCAACTAGTTATGATTTATTCGTTAAATAAAAACCTTCCCGGATCCCAATTACCAGAATTAATATGATCGACCATTCCTAAGCTAAAAGAATTATATTTCTAAAAACTATAGATAGCCTGTAAACTAACAATATTCAAGAATATCACATGCGACTATTGCACCTATAATTCGAAATATTAAATAATAAATAGTAAAAATACAAACAAAATATTAATATTTATTACTTTTTTATTATTGATAAGATAAAATAATATTATCACAAAAATTAGGGATAACATCACTTTTCCCAAATTGCTCAAGTTGCCCCAAAGACCATTTTTCCAATGTACACTTTTTCCCAATGGGCAATGACCAGCTTTTTATCAGATATTTTTAACATTACTTTTTTTACCTAACTTTCGATCTGTAAACTCCTTTTAGAGTTTAGACTGTAGTTGCAATTTTGAATGCAATTCAGATTTGAAGATTTTTTTTTTAAATAACTTGTCTCCTACACTATTAAGTTAAGTCCCATGATAATCAAAACAAAACCAATGTATTTATGCAAATTGTTGAATAGTTGAATGAAAAAATAAAAACCAGCGTGCATTGACAAAAATAAATACCACAGTCTATTTATTAAAAAACAAAAATAAAATAATAAGATTACATATTATAATAATAATTTTAACAATTTATGTTTTCATTTAAAAACTTTTATATTTACGCTAAAATATCAAAAAACTATTTTGTAAAACGTATTTCAAGTTATCTAATTTAAATACTTTTATTTTATACTAACAAAAATACAGGAAATGTAATAACATATTTGAAATAATTCTAATTAAACAATATTCATAATAATATAAAAAAAAATTATAATTTTGAAAAAATTGGTTTTTTGTCTTTTGATGCAACAGCCATAGTTGCTTTAATAAAATCTTCACTCTGAAGTAAAATTTGATTCCAATCAGCCTAAAACATAGAAATTAAATTTTATTTCATAAATTGTATTTTGAAAAAAATAACCATTGCATATAAAGAACATTGTGTAAAAATTAATTGAGTCAGTCGACAGATGCTATAACTTCCATACTTTATTTTTTCTTTGTTACTTTTTTCTAAATACATTGAATATATGATAATACAACTAACTATAAATATCTTAAAATTTTTTAAATATTTAAAAATAAAAGAAACTAATAAACACATTAAACTCTAAAGCAAAGATTCTACAAAAAACAAAAATCAATTTGGATAACCCGAAATTTTAGAGTTTAAAGTTTGAATGAAACTATGAATTACATAATTATTGAAATTATAGTTATTACAATATCTAGCATTTATTTTTATTGATTACCTATTCTACTATGTACACTGATTAACCTACATACAAAATACTTCAATTTTACACTTTAGTATAATACATTTCTATACATTATTATTATTTTAAAGTATTAAAAGTAATTATCATTAAAAAAAAAAAATGTGTATTCGTCAACATGGTAAATTAGAACAGAACACTTACAATATGATCTAATCCTTCTTGAACTGTATGATCACGTGAATATATTATGCTACGTTTGGTCATTTGAATACCAACAGGACTTTTACTCGCTATATCATTAGCAATATTCATTACGTTTTCAAGCATGCTAAAAAAATTAATTTTAAATATTTATTCAATACATACATATCTATAGGTACAACATTAACATTGTAAGTACTAATGGTAAACAATATAATATCACTGTACTCAAGATTTATTTTATTTATACCTTTCATTGGTTTCATACACTGTACTAACAAAACCAATAGATTTAGCTTCTTGGGCATCAAATTTACGAGCTGTAAAAGCCAATTCGTTAAATGTACTCATATTTCCAATGATTTTTGGCATTCTTTGAAGTGTACCCACATCTGCAGCCATTCCTGTTTCAAAGTATCACATGTTTTATAATATAATGTAACAATGGAATATAAACAAGATTTAATAATTATTATTACAAGAATGAAAATATTAGATTTTAAAAATTACATTAGTTCTTAGAAATTTCAGCAAACTGCAAATAAGTTACAACACATCCTACCAAATTATTGACTTTTTATTAACCTGTTTCTGTAAACATCAACTTTTCTACAGGCAATAACATATTTTTGGCTTTATTTTTACTGCTCAAGTGAAACAACCTTTAAGAATCCCAATGACCACGGGAAGTTGTTTTTAATAGTTGTATCTAACAGTAAGAATATGTGTTACACCTTCAAGATTGTCTTTAGAAACCTCAAAAAGTGGTACATTTTATGAATCAATTTTCGATCAAAATATTAATTCATAGTATTAAAACATTAATACATATTACTGGATAATATAACTAAAAAAAATGTCTACTTTCAACAGCTTTTAATATTAACATATTTTGCATGATCAGGATAGTTTTCAGTCGATGTGTATGTTTTTACCACTTATAAACCTCATTAAAAAAGAACTAAATAATAAATGTCAAACAATTTTGGACACTAAAAATAAACTAGTACAAATTATATTAATTTGAAAAAACTTTATTTAAATAACTGTTTCTTACCACAGGGATAGAAGCTCTTTTTTAATAGAAAATTTAATATAACGTCTCATTCAATAAACAGCCACAACAGTGAGCCAGTACACAATTTGCCTATCCTATTATATCAATCACTCTTCTTCTTTGACCTGTTGATTACCAAAACAGCAAAGGGGCTTTACACTTAAATACATATTATAATGCCCCATCCCATGTAACTTCTTAATATAAAAAACGTAAACAATTTAAGGTTGCTTGTTTAAAAAGTAGGGATGCTAAACACACACAAGCCCTCTCAAATTGCACCTATGTATTACCTTAAAATATGTAAATTTAATTTTAATATTTTTCGTGTAATACAAACCTATCTCTGTTTCTTTGATTTGAAACCATGCGTCATTTGTACAATATCTTATATCTGATGCAGCAATTAAATCTACACCACCTCCAATACATCCATTGTGTATAGCGGCTATTACAGGTTTAACACACTAAAAATACAATACATTTATTCAATTTCTTGTTTAACCAAAAATATTTCTGATTTTAATTACTTTATAATTTAAAGTCTTTAAAAGAAAAAAAAATTAAGGTTTACAATTATTTCATTCACACAAAACTTTTTTCTTTTGACAATTACTGTTAAAAACTTACTATCATAATATATATTTTTTGGTAGAAAATATAGGCTTAATTTGTTGTAAATTAATTTATTAAGTAAAAATTGAGTTAATATTAATAATTTGATTCTGATGTAATTAAAACATATTTACAATATGTGCATCTACTAGAAATTTAATTTTTATATAATTATGACTAATTTTTTTAGTCATTATAAAAATACAATGTGATGACTAAATGAACTAAGATAAATCAATACCTACACCTGAAGTTAAAACATGTTATTACTTTTTCAAGTGAAGTGATACAGTCTTGATATGTTTTAATAAATTTTCTAATGACTTGTGACTTTCTTGCGATGTCGTCATGGTTTGCCACTTCTTGGCCAAGATTCATAACATCATACAAATCAATACCTGTTATCAACAATTTTAATTAAAAATTATTTTAGAAAATAATACATTACTGTTTTGTTTCTTACCTTAGAATTTATACAGTTCAATTAAAAAAATAATATATTAAAATTGTGACACAATTACTTAAATGTAATATTTTGTCATAAAATGAATTAATCAATTTTTAGTTTGACAACACAAAACAGATACACTTGTGTTCAGGAAATAAGGATTGAACACATAGTTACATAAAATATACTACATAGGTATCATAATATGCAAATTAAATTACCTGAAGTGAAAAATTTTCCATTCCCAGTGAGAACAATCACGCGACAATCAGGATTTTCACTGAGTTCATTAAAACATTTTCCAATTTCACTGTAACATCATAATTGTAACTGTTTAGTATTTATACTTCAAAAAACAATGTATATGACTTGTGTGGAATTTGGTATGATTAATGCAAAATGACCTAGTAAAGAAGACAAATAAATGTACACTCTTAGTCGCAGTTCTTATTTCTATTTAAAATGTTGAATAAAATAAACTAGTGTTGAATATATTTTTTATAAAATAAAACATTCTTCTATATTTTTTTTCTATTCTAAATCCTATTAACCTACTTTTTAAACCGTAATGGTTACAGTGATAAGAAGCTTACTAAGATTTACATTGATAAGCGGTGTGTGTTCGTGTTAATATAGGTTGAATAAATATAAATAAACTACTACTTACATCCACATTTGTGAATTCATAGCATTGGCCTTTCCAGGCCTATTTAATTGTACATTGAATACAAATTCCTTATGACTTTCAATTTTCAGAGTTTGGTAGCTAGACATTGAATAAGCTTTTGATATACCTACAAAGGATAACCACATTAACAACAGTGTTATGGATTTTCACTAATAATCATATATAATAAAATGTTAAAATCTTATCGCGGTACATTTTGTTGTAATATTGTCATAAAACATATAAATTAAAATGGAGATAAAAAAAATAATGAGAATCAATATTTTACTTACTTCTAAGGTAAAAAAATCCTTTTTGTAAATTAGTTATTCTAAAAAACATAATAAGAACAATATAAAGCTAAAAAATTATAATACAGTTAAACCATATAATTCACAACTTGTGTATTAATAATAGTTAGGCATGTGTATCATGTACGAATATAAAATATCGCTTTGGCTACAAATATCGTTTTTGAATGAAACGAATAACTAAGTTAAGAATGAAAATAAAGAACCGTTTGCACAGATCAGCAGACAAAACTATGACTATTGCCTTCTGGTTTCTACTTTCTGTCGCTATTGAATGGTGATAATGAAATAATCAACAATGTATTATCAATTTGGGTTATTGTAATTTGTGATACCTATATTATAGTTATCAGCACAGTACATTTTCACGCAACCGGTCGTAGTATAAATTTATATATTTATTATTAAAGAATAAATTATGAAAAATATATAAAGTAATTAATTTTATAAATCATTCTCTAACTGAATCTTGATTAATTACACATTATTATAACGATTGTTAATAGTTATATAACATTGAAACTCAAAGCAAGACATTTTGTTTTTCTGGAAGAATTGTTGTACTTAGGTAATTAAATAAATTTAAGATTTTATAAATAATAAATAGAATAATCGTCTATTTGTTTATTTTTTTTTTTGCGTCGTCGATAGTTTAATTGGTTTCCTGCAGTTCTTGTAGCTATCCTTATTTATGTGTATCTTAATTGTTTCATGTATGCCATCATTGGCCTTCCTTTGTAATAAGTTGGCAATCCATATTCCTAAGTATTTGGTATGTAACTATTTTTTTTTTATAACCTATTCTTCTAAACCTCCACTTACATAGAATACTAGAGAAGCTGCAGCTCCTCTCCAGTCCCTTTAGTTGGACTAAAGGGACTTGGAGTAATTCCGACAAGCTGGAATTACTCTAGGCTTTTCTATCCTCGAACCCGATAACAAGTATTAAATACCTAAGCATAATTTATAATATATTGTTTAATAATATTTTCATTGAAGAAATATAGGTGCTTATAAATTTTAATATTTTTTTAATGAATTTGAAATATATTTAGTACACTTATTTATTAAAACAAGTGATAGCATTACTTAAATTTTTTATAGGAAACAAGTGACATTTTTGAGATTTGTTGAATACTAAACAAAATGGCTGATGAAGATGTTATGCCAGAAAATGATTACTTAATGTCAGTATTAAATATGTTAAACGGTTATTGTATAGTTAACTTGGAAGTTCCACAGACCAGCTCATTTTATACACACGATAGTCTGTTGCCAATAAATTCAAAAAGAGGTGTTGTTAATAGTGAGGATAAACATAAAATATATAATACACCTGATAATATAGCAGATATGTTTCAAAATATTGTAAAAATACAAACAAACGAAAATACTGAAGATATAGATGGCCTGCAACCTTGTACATCAAAAAAAAATTCATTGGAACAATATCAACATTATTCGGAACCTTTATTTAATGAAAATAGCAATGAGGTAATAAGAAAGCGAGAGGAAAAAAAAAGAAGTGTATCCCCTAAAAGCAAAAAGAAAAAAGCTAAGTACAATAAGTTGAACAATGTGCTGCCTTGGCAAGATCAGCAGACGCCACATTCTAGTCGACTTCGAAACAATTTGAATTCTGTAAATTATGTTGATCCATATGAAAATACAGAATTTCCCAATATTATGGTAAATATTTTAAATAATACTAAGTAATAATAATTATTTCGTGGTTTAGATAATTAAAATATTTGTATTGTATAATACAAATTGAGGGGGACATGTAGCTGAGTCGGTAAAGTGGCAGTGTGTTTGCCCTAACTATCACTAGTTTGACACTTGGTCATGAGCGCTCCATTTTTTTTGGGCGAGAAATCGTCCAGTGAAAAAAAAGCCGCCTTTCCCTTCTCTGGCAATAGACTGAAGACCCGTCCCCGATAGCAAATTCATCTAGAAACCATCTCATGATGGCTGCATTGGGCCTTCAAGGCCTATTAAGCTTACATGATGATAATATATTGTGTTATAAGTTTGAAAAAAATACAACTGTTAATGTGTTTACTTTTTAGGGTACCCAGGATAATAATGATGTCAAACACATGAAAAACTACAGGAATAGTACTCAAATTTTAAAGCCAGACGCACCTAATACACAAGATTCTAACAGTGAAATTCATAATTACAAGTTATTTGCAACTCAATCTCAGTGTCCTTTATGTTTCCGCATGTATCCTACTGCTGTTATTGAGGTAAGAAATGTTGAGTTTAATTTGTTTACTATTTACAAAATAATCTTTGAAGATTAACTTAAACTAAACATTTTAGTACAAAATTAATTATGACTATGTTTTCTAAACTATTTTCAAGCAAACAACAGACTTAGTCTATTGTGAGCCTTTATGATAGCTTGCTACTACAATACCTACAGATTTACGTTAACTCTGAGAGTAAGAATACCATTCGCCACAAACATGATAAACTTGTTTCGAATGGTATCTTTTTATTGGGTAACTGCCTACCTACTAATACTCCTATTAAAGCTGTTGCTGCCACTCTTCATAATAAAATAGGTTTCCTTATTATCTGTATTAGATAAAACCAAGAGTTGTAATTTGTTGTTTATTAATAACAAATTAATAACCTGCTTTTAATGGTTGACTGAGTATATCAACTAATGTCCGAGATATTTTAGGATACCATTTCTTTTTAAGTTAAGCACATGGGCAAGTACTTTATTTTGGCTTATTTAAAAAAATTACTTAAACAAGACAAATAACATTTTATTGGAATCTGGCAATTTTTTTATTTTATTTTTTAAATTTATGTTTTTATGTGCTGAATATAAGTCATTAGATTAATCTAGTCACGCTAAGTTTTTGAGTTCTACCTAAGGGCTAGGTAATTTTTCCAATTCATAAATATTCATATAAATCAATCGATTCATTTCTGAAGTAAAAAAATGTATATATATTAATCTACTTTCAGTTAATCGTTTTATAAAATCACAATTGTTCAGGTACGAAAACAATCACAGCCCTAGTTGTCCCAAAAACCACTTACATACCAGTTTTTCAAAATTTGCAAAGCTAATTGTCTGTTTTAATAATTAATCTATTCAGGGGTAGATCCAAGGAAGGGTGATGAGGCCTGAATCCCATCCCTTATTAACTTAAATTATATGCTTTAAAAGTATATATTTTTTTCTTATATTATAATATAATATTAAAGTATTTGTATTTTTGTAACTATGTAAACTTTAACTCTACGACTATTGTTTTTATAGTTATAATGTGTTGTTGGATAGTAATAATAGTAGTAGTTTGATGAGTATTTTTTAACTATACAGAGATCACCGATCGGAATACTACACTATTTTTATAGCACCCTAACACTCTTCATTTTAAACCCTCTAACATTCTTTAAAATTTAAAGAATTACTTTTACCCAACTAGTAAATTTAACAAAAATATTGTTCAGTTCATAAAAGTTATTATTAAGGTTTAAAAGTGGCATTTATTTCAACTAGCTATTTGGTTAATAATTAATTAAAGTTTGACACAGAAAACTGCTATACTTAATTTCTAGTAGCGACGCTATGTCATTCTGCATTCGCCATAAGAAAAGCCGTGTTTTGGCTTCACTATAGTGTACTATTTCAACCATTAGAATTACATTTACATTTTTATTATCATCTGTATTTTGCTTGATTGTTATCTTTAATTATTACATGTTAATTCTGTTTTCAGGCTCATGCATCTGTATGCAGTATTTAAATGTTCAATCATATAAATTTAGTAGTGACAAGCTTAAGCTAGAATTTATTAAGTATATACATAATATTATTATTTCTAATATTATGGAATTAAACTATTGATTATTCTATAATTATCAATAATTTGTTAATATGTTTAATTAATTTACTATTATCATTGAGTATGTATAATACAATATACACTCAATGCTATTATTATCCACCTATAATGATTTATGACTATTGTATTAACTGGAAAATTTAATTATTGTATACAAAATTTAAAGTTCATAGAATAATTAAAGCCACTTCAAAAACTCGTCAACGTAGGTAATTTATAGATTGTAAAAATGTAATATTGTGTGTTATTCGATTGATTTTTTTGGAATAAAAAAAGCTGAGCTATAAATGTTTAAAAAAAATCTATATGTAACAACTTAGAACTATCTTAAATTTATTTTTCAAAACTTTATTAACCCATTAGTGCTTATTGTAACAGAAATACAACATGTTTATTACATAATAATATTATTATGTTAGAAAAAATACATTTAATTTAGGTGGCCATTAGTTATTATAAACGTAATTTTTTTTAATATATACTTTTAACTTATTTTTTGCAAAGTCCTGATCATTTAATTTAAATTTGTATATTAAAAATGTTTAAAAGTTGGACATTGAGGGGTTAATAAATTGCACAAAAAAAAAGTGAAATAAAAAGTTTCCACATGTTTTAAGGGAGTGGATTGATGATATGGCCTTATTTTAACTGTATATCTAAACACATAAAACCACAAAAACATAAAATTAGAAATAAAATATTTTTTATAAATTGATAAATTAATAAACTATTTTAGAAAGTTGTAGCCTGCAAATTGGTAATTTTTTAATTGTGATTACAAAAATAGTAGACCTCTATTACGTCAAAGTTTTTTTACTCATTTACCCTTTTGCTGCTATGAATATTTGGTATACACGCTGAACCAAAGCACAATTAAAAACTAGAATTGTAAAATCTAAAAACCTTTATCTACCTAACCCAAACTTAATCAGATTTTTACATTAAAAAAATATATCAAGCATAAACTATGCTTAACGAGACGTTAGATTCTGCGTTAGATGCATATTATTGATTTTATGATAAGCATACCTATTGTTATAACAGCCATGTTTATACCATCTTATTAGTTATTAAGTGTTATTTTTTAAAAATCTCAACTGTTCTTTAATTAATAAGTCTGTTAATTATTCATGTTATGTTAATTATAGTAATTTGTTTGAATAATTATAGTTTTTTTTTCTAAAATAAGATATCCATTTTATACTCTATATATGTATAGTTGTTATTAAATTCAACTTATATTTTAGCTCCTGCATGTAGTGTGTTAGCATTATTATTACATTATAGATGTAAAAAAAAAAAATTTTCAACGTAAATTACAAAGGTAATTTTATAACAATAACACATTTTCCAAAAGCAAATATAACATGTATTTAAAAAATAAACAACAAATGTCATGGTTTTTGACTTAATAATTTACTAGCTAATAGGAATTTAACAATAATAAGTAATATCATAAACATATAGATAGTTAAATGATGAATCAAAGCTCGACGTCAAGAAATCTTGTCACTAAATAAATTTAATGACCAGTTTCATGCAACCCGACTCTAGTAAATCAAAATTATCTATAGCTTATAAAATATGTTCTGTTTTGCTGAATAAATAAATTGCAGGCAGGTATTCCGTATTATTGCTTAAATAAAATAAATTAATAAAGTTTAATGTTTTGTGATTGACTAGGTTATACAATTATTATATAATCTAGATTGTCTCCGAGTCCGCATTCGGTACATTATTATTTTATTTTTATTGGCATAAATTAATGTATGGCTTGGGACTAAATGAATTTGTGATTACTTTATTATTATTTAAATAAATATATTATGTTGATTTCTGCGCACGGTGTACCTAATGACTTGTGTTTTGAGCACGACGATTGCCTATTGTTCTGGCGATTTATTGTTTTTCTTTTCTTTTCTTAAACTGTTTATTGGAGACTATCTAGATACGTTTCAGCCTCTGCAAATACTGCTTCGGCCGTCTGCTGTGCCGATATGATGACAGTCTTGGATTGGTATGCCTCGATGATGGGATCGTTATTGGCGTGGAACGTTTCCAACCGCTTTTTTATTGTCTCCAAGTTGTCGTCCGACCGTCCGCTGGTCTCTGCCCGCTTCAAAAGTCTTGCCACCATCGTATCGTCATCCGACTTCAAATATAACACCATGTCCACCGGTCCAATCTGTAACAATACCAAACCACTTGGCATTAGCATTTAGCTATTAAAATAGTTAGATATGTTTTGGCCGAATCCTGCCCTTGTTTTAATTAAATGATTAAACCCTTGGTTAGTTGAAAAAAATGGCAAAATAAAATTAATACAATCATTTCGGATTACTTATGCACTATACGATAACATATTTATTTAATTTAAACAAAACAATTTGTATAATGAAAATAATTATATTCCATATAAAAAAACCTTGATAGGTTTGCCTTTACTCTGTCAAAACTGTTGGAAAATATGGTCCAAGACTATACTCCAAGACTATAAGCGTTATGATGTGTTTGTTACTTGCTTACACAACTATATCCCTTCTATGTTTGAGAAAATTTTTTGAAGAATATAGAAGACTTATTAAGAAATTTAGGTTTATAATTTATTTAGGAAATTCGGCTGTTATCATAACCACATACTTTTTATTCATTAATATTCTACACTACCCATAATGACATCCTTCAATTTTTGTAACTAAATGTTTATAATGCTATTTGTTTATCGCTATTTTACTTTTAAGTTGAAGTAATATAACTTTGTGATAAATACTTAGTATGCTCGCGACTTTTTTCCGTCGATACTTATGATTACAATTGGAGAGGCTTTAAAGTTATTTTCCGGAGTTAATATGAATCTCAAAGAATTTTGTAATTGGATTTTGCGACAAATTACACAGTACTTATTACTTTTATTTTTGGCGGTTTTTTAATTCGTAACAACAGAAAAACGTAAAGCGTTTACTTACCAACAGACTGTCGTTAGCGCTAAAGATGACAACAGTATTACCGAAAAACGTACACGCATAGAGGTGTATTATTTTTATGGTTTAGGGTTAAGTATTCATTTTTTACTGTATATATATAACCATAAGCCGCCTAAAATTTTTTTCTAGATAACAATTGTTGAGTTTCACTTATTATAATGATTTTACTTTCATACGAGTTACGGTTAAATTTTAATTAAAAATTACTTTAAAGGTAAAGAAATTTTAGAATGTTCGAATAATTTCGATAGGTAACATTTTTTTTTGTACAAAATATTGTAGTTCATAATATTTTATAATCACGTGTTGACCACAAAAATATTTAATCTGAAAGAGTTCGGTAAAATGTTCTCTATAATATTTACTTATATTTCCATTGAAATCTGGACGCTGAATTTGACGCCAATTGTGCCTATTTTTAGTCTCGTCGCACTAATTTATTTCCTTTGCATTTTTCTTTAATTAATAAGACATTTGAAGAAATTACTTTGCCAATGCCGTTTTACATTATTGTACTGTTTAAAAAAAATTCGTAAAATTGTTCTTCAGCCAAAAATTTAGCAAAAAAAATAATTATGTTTTCTAAAATTAATATTAGAACAGTACATGAGATGTCACAGAACTTTTAAGGTATATTATAAATGTCTAATATATTAATATATTTATAAATTATTTAACACACCCTTAATACATCAATAACCATATCTTGTATTAATTAAAAGTAGTATAATATCCATCTCTCGCTGATTATAGTAAAAAGGTATTATATAAAACTTTTGATTTAAAAGCAGCTGCATCTTAAAATTAAAAAAATATCACCAGACTTACGGTTTTTTCGAATTCTTCTCCTTGTTGCTTTTCCCGCGGGTAACCGTCGATCAAGAATCCTTTTGAAGACTCTAATTTGCTAGCGATTTTTTCTTTAAGCAACTCCATAACAACGCTCTGCAGAAAAATTTGAATATAATTGTAATCTGGCGCAATCAGCAATAATATCATAGACAAGTGGCTTGGTGCAAAAATAATCACGTTATCTACTTATTGACTGAAAACAACCTATATTCATCATAACAACCTATTCATCATATACCAGGTGATTTTAAGTTATATTTTCGATTTGTTTTGGCTAAAACATTTCCTAAATAAAATCGATGATCTATTATTGAATGAACATAAATATTTAATAATAGTCAAGTTTAAACTATCGTTTTTAAGGGTAGTTTTAGAGAGTACCTATAAAAAGTTAAATAATAACCGGTTTATTTCAATCTATTTATCTATGAGATGTAGAATAATAATGATGACTGGTTAAAGATTAAGGCGGGTAATTAAGTAAGGTTGAGAAATTATTATGATCTATACACCATAGACATTTCACTCCTCTGTCCTCAATTCCCATCAATATTTTTAAATGATAATAATACAAGTAGTGACTATCCAAAACTACCAACCAGTCATTATTTTTATTACGTCGTTCTGATTTTTACAGATATCTACATGTAATAAATAGATAAGATAATTGCTCGAAAATTCTACTGTAGTCTGTGTAACAGTATTTATAAATTAAATTATCTCTCATAAAAACATAAAGCCTACTGAACAAACTCATGTGAATGTTAAGTGTCACTCATTGAGTTAAAGGTAACCCTTAAACTAATAAACAAATTTCACATCCTATAATATGAGACTTTTAAACATATTTGAATGGCGACTGAAAACAATTATAAAATGTAATAGGTATTCACACTTCACACTTTTTGCATTAAAACCGATATGTACTATTTATTTAAACTCACGGTAGGCACTAGAGCTCCTTCTTTCATGATTTTCACTAGTTCCTGTCCGCGAGCCGATCCTGTGTTCACTTCGTCCCTGAGCAGATCCCCGGTGGAGATATGCGTAAATCCGTATTTAGCAACAATTCTGTCACACAAAGTTCCTTTTCCACTGCCCGGTCCTCCTGATGACACGCGCAATACAAAACATTATACTTACAAATTAAACTGCGAATACAATTATTATAACTGACTTAAGTCACGACTCACGAAAACATTTTATTGCCGTGTACCAAGGTTCAGTATAATTAATTCTAAACTATATATGAATAGAGCTGTTTGGTTCTTTTTCGAAAATATCTTAACCTAGATAGGTACGGAGAGTCACGGAAATGAAAATTGTTTTTAACTTACCCAAAATCCATATGGTTGGTAGCTTTTGGTCGCACATTTTCACGGGTTAGGTCAATAAATGGTCTGAAAAATTCCAGTCAAATAGTTAAAACTTAGCGGATGTCCTAGTTGATAGTTGTACGGGATTTATAGCGTAAGCAGCCAACTAGTTATTGCAGTTACATGTTCAACAATCATTAAAAGCAAACTACAAAAATATAATAATACTCGCATGGGCAAGCACGGCGTCCTCCGGAAGCTGGCACGTAATATATTTGTTATGGTGTTTTTTTTTTTAATAATTAGCTCAACGAGCGCAATGCTAGAGATATTTTTCAAGGACCCGATGAAGTAAAATAGGTCAAATAAAAATATTTCAACATAACTAACAATCCTCTGTTTTGTTTTTAAAGAATTATACATTATATTTCTTAACAAATCTATTTAATGTCGATAATGTCATACAATGTTTACACGGGCAAAGATACCGAATGAGGAACGACCGCAATTTTTCATCCATTAGGTATATTGTCCAATAATATTATTACAAGAAATACATTGATTTTGTTAACATTCTAATTTTATCATAATTTAAGTTAAAATGATAAATACATCGCTGAGTTGGCTGGGCTGTTTGATTAATATAAAATAATACAACAAATAATAACCCTTTGACTTTGTGTTTATAAACTAAAAATTAACCAACTATTACAATACTTTATGTGTATATCGGAAAGTTGGTTGTATTTAAGTTATGAACATTAAAGTACTGCACTGTCAAAGTACTTAAAGTAAACCATTCCTGAAATGTTTATATAAAAATTTAGAAGACCGGTATTATTATATTAGTGTTATATACTAAAAATAAAACAGAAAATACACATTTGGCGGTGCACCAGCTGAATGGACATAGCTAAGTTAGGTATTATGAGAAAATTAAATTTGTGAAAAACAGTTCCAAGGTTAACAGAAATAGGAAGGTAAACAATCAATGGTTTATAAGCAACGAGGTCGCTTGGTACAAAATCAAAAGAAACAATTTCGACTCAAACTTCAATTGCAATTATTAATATCATCATTCAACAAGTTAAATAATAACTTAAATAGTCCACTATATTTATTATAATCATAAACTTATTACTATTGTCACGGACACAAATGGCGTTGAATTTGTAATTATTATAATATAATACCAAATTCATAGCTAAGTGTGAAATCACATCTTTTTGATTTCATATTTAATACATTAGAAGATATTAAAAACACATTTTTTTTATTGTTATCAGATTTGACAGTAATATGAATAAAATACTAATAATATAATTAAATTAACTTAGAATTGATCGACTTTCAGTTAAAATAAATTAAACAGTTTTTGTCAAATGGCAATATCTAATCAATTACTTAACCAGGTATCTTTCGTAATTATACATTTTTTTTCATATTGTAAAAACAGAAGAAAACATTATTTTCGTTATTAATATTTGGTAACACTTTTTTCGGTGATGTGCCAGAGCTAAGACATGAAAATGTAATAATAGGTACAACGGTTCAATTGATGGTATAAAGGGTAAGGAAAATACCTTATTCTAGGAATGAGGTACATCAGCCAAAGAACGAAGGACGCAGTAGAGATCAGACATAACAAACAACAGAAAAACATGGACAAATAATTTTTTATAAACCGATCTCTATTGCCTTGATTGAAAAACAAAAACAAAAACAAAAATATTGTAAGAATACTGATGTGAACTTAAAAAAATATATTATAAAATATCTTTATTTCAGGCGGCACTTAAAGACGCTAATTCTTACTTTTAAAAAAATGTGTTTTAATCTTCAATTACCTAATATTATTATAAGTTTAACGCATGTTACTTTGTGCGTTTAATAATTCTACTATTATTGTTATTAATATTGTAAGGTTTTTGTGCAGGAAAATTAAATTATAAACATGAAAAAGACATAAATGGGGCAGAATTTTTTGACGAGATTTCCGATTTTCAGCACACAATGATGTCAATTATTCCTGACCGTCTTAAATCTGCAACAATTCTTGAATTACTTCAGCTGATTCAAGATTATAATTAAAAATAATCATATCCCAACGTAGATATTGTATTTACAATATTTTTGACAATGTCTGTAACTATAGCCACGCGTGAACGTAGTTAAGCAAACATAGACTCATAAAGAATTATCAAAAACCAACTATGGGCCAGGAGAGAATATAAAAATTGGCTATTTTATCTATAGAAAATGAAGTTGCTGGAGATATTCATTTCGAGGATATTTGGCGAATTTGTGGCAATCAAATCGACAAAACTATAATTGTGATTCTGAAAAACTATTTATTTTTTGCACGATTTAATACTATCCAATTTTTTTAGGTGTTGCATATACTCAAATTAGCACACTCAGCATTTGGCTCTGCACCCGATAATGTTAATATTAGCTGTCGTCATTATTAGCTTAATTCTATTTTAATAAAAGTTCTCAGTGTTATAAATTATTGATTTATTCAATTATAAATATATTACTTATTTCTCAATAACTAGTAAGCTGTAGGTAAAAAATTTTCAATAAATAATTATTAAATGCATTAATGCCGCTGACGGGCCTTGCTTGTGTTGAGTGCAATTTGATATAAATCAACTATACAATAAATAGTTATGTACACTGTACAGAATATACAAAGGGCTTAGTGATAATAATACAGTGTTGTTGATTATTGCTTTTAACAGGATTATCTACCATGTTTTAGTAACTGTGCCGTTGCTGTGGGTAACGTGCGATACCATTCGAAGGACGAATCTGGCAGCTCTGATCGATAAGCGCGCGACTAGCACCGCCGCCTTGCTGCACTCGGCAACACGGTGACACACAAAAAAGTTGATTATAATTATCATGAGTGTATTACTGTAATTGTTTTTTTAAATACAATTAGGAAAACGCAAATAATTGTGTAATTGAATATTATCTTTAATGTGGAATGTAATGAAAGTTGTTATAATATTATTTCACACCTATAGCTATTGCCCGTACAAATCAAAATCACATCAAAAGAAATTCAGTGTACTACATAATACCTTTGGGGTTGTGTTTATTATTATTACAGTTTATTTGGAAACATTTCCAGCGTTACGGATTACCGGATAACGTTTTATACAATGGAACTCGGCAAGGTACCTACGTTAATTGCATGAGAACATTACGGGGATTAAAAATCGCCACTGTAAGGTTTTTAGAAAACAATCTTCCTATAAAATTGTGTTCGGCAAAATGTTAAACCTAAAACGATCGTTAAAACATAACAATGAAATGGATGAACTCACCGAACTGAGAAAGAGAGCAGCTCCGAGAACAAAAGGCAGTGTATTGACAACGCTTTCGGACGATACTACTAGCGTGTAGCCCTAAAGGGTTTACTGGTTTTTGATTTTTCGAGTTTTCGCCACCAGTCTGAACCGTTGTCGCCGCACGCCCGGCGATAATCGCCAAAGCAGATTTCTTTTATTTGTAATTTACTTTTTTGGCACCGGTGACCAAGGCGGCAACGGCAATGCCCTCGCATGCACTTATTAAGGTCGTCACTATTTTTAAAGTATGTTACCGCCTCCTCGGTTTTTATTGTTATTTATGCTATTAGTATTCTAATCAGAAAAAAAAAACGCAATAGTAATGATAATATATAAAAACTATTATTATATCACTATTATCACGTATTCGGTATTTCTAGACGTCAGTCGTAACGCGACGCCAAAACAGCGAAAAGCTGTCATAGTTAAACACGGTCTCTGACATGTTTGACACAGTCACTTTTTATTATCTCTAATACTCAGTCGAGTGGCGTTTATAAACATCATCTATTTGATTACAGCGAAATATCTTGGAACGTTTGAATAAAACGTTGGCGCGATTACAATAATTACAATACATCAACGCTAAAATTATTGGCATAATTATTTTAAAATGGAAAAAACTAATTGGTGGCCGCGGCGGTAACAAAAATATTGTAGACAATACTTGTTTGTGTGTAAATGTTTCTCTTGGTTTTTATCAAAACTGCAGAGAACTTAGGACTAAGTTATCTAATTTTAAATGTAATACCTCTTGTTTTAACTATCCGTTCATTGCATTAACTGAAACGTGGCTTAATAATGATATAGCTGATGGTGAACTAAGTTTGTTTAATTATAATATTTTTAGATGTGATCGAAATAACACCACTAGCGGCTGTTCTAGGGGTGGAGGTGGTTCTTGTTGGTATACGTATTGACCTCCCATCATATCTAATACCTGTAACTTGTTTGGGTATTGAGGTTTTGTTTATGAGATTTACTCTCAACATGAAAAAGTATATAATTAGCAGTACTTACTTACCTCCAAACTCTCCTCCTCAATCCTATGAGACCTTTATGTCTACTGTTGAGAATCTACTTTCCATTTATTCTGATCATTTGTTTATTTTCTGTGGTGATTTTAATCTTTCAAATGTTTCTTGGTCGAATGACAACCATGGTCTGATTTATTCTTCTACATCTGGCTCTCTTATCAATTGTCTTCCGGAGACTTTTGCAGCAAATAACTTCTTTCAGATCAACGATATTTTTAATAAATCAGGGTAATGACCCTGATTAGATCTTATCTTAGTGAATCTCAATCAGTATTCAGTATAAGGTCAAAGCTGCATTGATCCCAGTAGTACCTGAAGACCGCTATCGCCCTGAGTTGTCCATAGACTTTATTCCAGTCACCAATATACCACTAATTGATTCTTCTCATTACTACTTCAACTTCCGTAAGGCCAATTATCCTCTTATAAACAAATTTTTGCTAGCTTTCAATTGGTTAGAACCTTTTTCTAATTTGGATGTTACATCTGCTGCATATACACTTTTTGAAGCACTATATTTATCCATTCTGCAACATGTTCCTAACGTAAAATTTTCCCGGTCTAATTTTCCTTTATGGTTTTCTAAAGATCTGATCGATCTAGTATTCCAAAAAGAAAAACTCACGCAACCTTTAAGTGCACAAACAACTCAATTGATTATCAAAATTTCAGTTTTCTTCGTGCTAAATATAAATACTTGAGTAAGCAATGTTACAAAAAATTTATCAGTTCTACCGAAGAAACTTTTTGTACAAATCCATTCAAATTTTGGGATTTTGTTAGAAAGAATAAGCCAGGTCAGTCTATTCCCATGACAGTCACGCTCAATGGTCTTACTAGTAAAAATAATAATAAGGTAGCCGACTTTTTCTCTAAACATTTTAATTCTGTATATTCTAAGTCTAATGTCAACTATGTACCTGAATTAACCCAGTCCCTTATTTAAGATCTTCCGAGCAACTGTTTCTTTGACATATCAGATGTTGAAAAGGGTTTATCACGTCTGAAAGGAAATAAATCTATTGGCCCAGACGGTATATCAGGTGATTTCTTATGCGCGATCAGATCGTCTATATGTTTTCCTTTATGGCTTCTATTTCGGAAATTACTTGATTCCGGATCCTACCCTGAAATACTCAAACTTGTTCCATAACGCCGATATTTAAATCTGGTGATATTTCTAATGTAGCTAACTATAGACCAATAACTATCATCAGTCACATAGGTAAACAGTTTGAATATTTAGTTTTAAGTTGTATCCAACCTGCGGTAAATCAAATCATAGTGGATGATCAACATGAGTTTCGCCCTAATCGATCAGTTAACACATGCAATCTTGTGTTTACTGATTACGTGTTTGATGCCTTTGCAAAAAAGAATCAGATTGACGCATTTACACTGACTTCAGTAAATCCTTTGATAGGGTTAACCATTCTGTTCTTATGAAAGTCCTTGCCAGCAGTGGTTTTGGGAGCCTTTGTTATCATGGTTCAGATCTTATTTATCCGATCGCAAGTAATTCGTAAAAATATTTGGTGTCAAATCACAGGTATTAAATACGCCGTCTGGGGTACCTCAAGGTGGCCATCTTTCCCCGTTACTCTTTACATTGTTCATTAATGACGTAAAAAAAGTTATTCGCCACAGTAAATTCTTACTATTTGCAGACGACTTAAAGCTATTTCTAAAAATTCGCTTAGTACATGACTGTCAATTACTTCAAAGTGACTTATGCGCATTAGATGCTTGGGCTATAAATATTGGTTTGGACTTTAATGTCTCTAAATGTTGCTCAAAGTCTTTTTATAGAGGTCGCACTCATTTAGAATTTAAACACTTACTTCGTGGGACCTATCTTGCTATTGAAGGGAATACGGTGAAAGATCTTGGAGTTTTCTATGATAGAAACTTAAATTTTCATAACCACATAGATGCGACATGCTGTAAAGCTTTTAAAGCTCTTGGATTTCTTAAGCGGGTTTGTAACGAATTTAAGTTGATAACTCCACTAAAAGCTTTATATTGTGCGCTTACCAGATCTATTCTTGAATTTTCTGTTATTATATGGAACCCTCACACCGCAAGCAATATGAATCAACTGGAAAGAGTCCAACGAATGTTTTTGAGTTTTGCTGCATATCTATTAAAAATAGAACATAGACCTCATGTTTATGATGTAGTATTAAATAGGTTAGGTTTACAGTCTTCAGCTGATAGACGTATTACCATTAACAAGGTCTTCCTGCTCAAACTTATCGATGGGTCGATCGACTGTCCTAAACTTCTTTTCAAAGTTAACTTTAAAATTCCCTGTATCCATATCCGCTCTTCCTATCCTTTCACTATTCCACTGTGTATGACAAATTATTCCCGTAACAAACCACTGAATAGGATGATGCGTATTGCCAACGAGGATCCGTCTTATAGTTTTTAAGTTATAATTTGTAATATATTTTTCTTTTGTCTTATTATCTTTTTTCATAGTTATTAGTTTATAGTTAATTTGATATTCTGTACTTTGGGCTGCGGCCCGTATTGAAATAAAATAAAATTAAATTAAATTAAATAAAAGAATATGTTGCATACAAAACACCGATCCATATTCTCACATTTCTAATTTATACATTTCTGTACACCTAAATTAAATGTAAGTGTTTTAAGACTGTAGGGAATCGTAGTTTATTTCCAAGTAGTTAAGCAGGTAAATTCAATTTTTCTAGCCTCCTTTTTTTAACTCTATACCACAGAATAAACAGAAGGAAATCTATGAGAAATAGGAGGACTTAGCGGTTGAGGTAAAATTGGCTTCACTTGCCAGAAAAGAAGGTTCATTAATGATGTCAATAGTTTCTTTTTAAGTTATTAAAAAATGATATAGCTTGCCCTGAGTTATTAGCTCGAATACCTTTTAATGTACCCTACATCACATACCAGATCCTCACCATTCTTTTACATTTCAACTCAAAAACAAGACTATAGTATGCGAGCTCCTCTCTCAATAGGTTTTTTTCTAATTGCAATAAATTGGGTAATTTTTATTTTTTTCTATGATTTTTGCTCAAAAGTTGTTTAATCTGTTGTATTATGTTTCGTTTGATAATGTCTGCTTTTAAAATTTAAAGTGTATTAGTTTTAGTCATGTTTTGTTACTAATGTTAAAGTTTTATGCTAAATGCTGTACTGTTTATCTGTAAGGGCGTAATTATTTATTTGTTCTCTTCATATAAATATTATTATTATATTGATTACAAAATAATATCAAAACATGATTTATTTACGTCTTGTGTAAGCAGTATAAGTATCTTGTATAAGCATAAATAAATAATCATCATCAGCTTAACGGGCCCTTTAAGGTACATCGATGCTATCATGAGATAGATGATAGTTTCTAGACGGATTCACTGTCTAAGACGAGTGGTTAGTCGGTCGCCAGAAAGGGAGATGCTTGTACCTTTTCACCGCATAATTGGACTAACATTAGTAATACTCTCAGATATCTATACATATACTTATGTATAAATAGGCAATTGTATTTCTTTAGTTGTGTCAAGTTTAAAAATAACAAAGGCGTAAAATAATCAATAAATGGTAAATAATTGTAATAAGAAATGTAGGTATATGCATAGTAACGCTAAAAATCTATTTTGGTCTCGTTCGGTTTGCTAAATATTTCCACATGAAAAAGAAGACCACCCTTCCAAGCGCCCTACCGATCTAATAAGGACTTTATATAAAGCTATATTAAGCAGAAAGGTTGGTCGTAATTGAAAGTGTTGCGGTGTATACATCCGAAAACTCGCAAAGTTTAAGTGTTATATAATCGATATGTGTGGTAAGAGGCAATGATGGCAAAAATTAAAACCCTAAATCTTAGACTACTTGTACTTCCTACGGTATCAAAAAATAGTTCATTACCTTACACTGCTTTAGATTAAGAGAAAGACCGACTAGATTACAATAGTTAACAAATTTTGAATTTTGAAGTTTCTAACAATCATCTGGTGTAGAAATCTCAAAGAAAAATGTTTGCATCGTAAACAAATAGTAGTTAACTACAAGGGGTAATCACATTGAAAACAGTGTCAGTTAAGATATTAAGTAGGACGTGATAATGGCTACCTTGCGGTACACCAGACATTAAAACTAGAGATTCGAAGAGTTTACCAATAAAAGACTAACCTGAAATGGACCGATAATTAGAGACTATAGAATTTAGAAAGATCATCTGTTTAGGATAGGTGTGATACGACTTGTGTTCGAGATTATTGGAAGTATACCTTGCTAGATTGTAGAGTGACTTATTAAATAGCAAATAAAATGTAATATTTAAAGAATGATGTCATCGATCAACGGGATCGCAACCATCCC